GTAATGGCATTTATTGAATACATACCATGTGCTGGGCATTGTGCTAATGAATTTTTACCTTCAAGGAATGATGATCTAATGGAGGAGACAAATCAATAATAGAGAATTATTGTAAAGTACCATAAATACTCTGTAAAGAGAAGCCTTGGGTACTGTGCAAGTTCAGTGGATGTACAGCTGGCGCACACTAGGTGTGTGTGATGGATGGTTCAGAATAATTTTCTTAGAAGAGCCTGAACTGAATCCTGAAGGGCCAGGTGAAGAATTGAGAGAAGTGTATTCTGGGCAGAAGCAGCAGCTGGTACGAGGGTCCAGAGGTGAGAGTGCTTGCCTGAGTTTGGAGGGCTAGAAGGAACTCGTGAAGAATTCATCTTGACTGGAGTGTTGGGGTGGTGCTAGGGGTTGTGAGGTGAGAGATGGGCTGTTAGAAGTGAGCAGAAGAGAGATCTAAGTGGTCTTGAATGCTGTGCTAAGGGTGCAGTCTGTTATCCTGCAGACTGTGGGGTGCCATGGAGGGAATGTGAGCAAGCCAGCAGCAGAGCCAGACAGAGGCCTGGCAGCAGTCTGAGGGGGAGGGAGCAAGGCTGGTGACAGGCAGGTGACGAGGCCTGAACTGAGGCAGAGATTGGAGAACATGGATTGGTTAGGGCCAGCCTAGAGAGGGGTGTCCAGAGTTAGAAGGAGTCCCAGGAGAGTCACAGCACAGAAGCCTAGGGTTTGAAGGAGGGAGTGACCATTAGTTCTAATGCTGCCACAAAATCAAAAGTACAATAAGAAAAGTATCCACTAATTTCAGTGACACCAATTGCTGGATCATCCTTTACTGTTGTACACCTGAGAGGTGACAGAAGGGGATTTGGAATCCAGTTCTGACCCCAGGGCCCATGCATACCCTTCCTGCTGCCCTAGACAAACTCCATCTTACACCTGGAGAAATGCCATATAGGTTCTTCCTTTTGATAAAATGGTTTCAGCTTCTTTGTTGGTGAAACCAAATGTTTAAGAACACAGCTGCCTTCATGAAGAAACGAGATTTTAAACAAGGGCAGCATCAGTTTGTGTAAGGAGATTTACAGAGTCTTATGGAATTGATAGTTTTTATTAGCCATCAGTTAGCCTGTCTTTTCCAAATTATTACATACATTTTCTTTAGGCCACTAAAAAGCAAAGGTCACAAAAGCCATGTGATTCCTGAAGAGAGTCATGAGAGCCGGCCTGCAATTGACGGAACAAAGGCTATTAAGAACTTTATTCTCTTTGTTTAAAGAGGTCCCTTTTGACAGGGAGCAGTTCTGAACAGTAGGTTTGTTTCCTACATGTGGGAGAGGACTGCAGTATTTAAGAACAAAAGTTGAAAAGAAGATATGATTGGAATTTTACATTCTAAAGTATAGAATTTGTTCATCAAATTTCTCTCTTCTAGTAGAAGGTTTCACACAGCAGGGAGTCGACTATTGAGGTTTATTATCCTGGGAGGTATTGAAGAAGTGAAGGAATTTTGGAAGTGTAGATAAATTCATGGGGAGAAACAATTGTTTGAGTTCAAGGAGCCCCTCAGCATATTATGAGCTAGAAGGACCCTGATTTTGCCCTGGTTCTGACCTATCTTCAAAATAGCAGATGTTCACAGAGCACCTGTGTGCACAAAGCACCTGGGTGCTCTGGGAGAATGAAATAGACCCCACCCTGCAGAGGCTCGCCAGCTAGTGGGAGAAGATAAATGGGTGCAACACTGCCTGCCACATAACTAGTGAAAGTGAGTCCTGTGAGCGCTGGGCAGCGAAGATGCCCTGGGAGAAGGTGGGATCCCCTTGGCACACTCTGGGAGAGCTGCTTACAGAGGTACATCTTGGGACTTAAGCAATGAGTAGAATTTCAACAGCAAAATAAAGAGAAGGACTTTCCAGGGAAAGGGAAGAGCTTAAGCATTTCTTCAGAGTTGGGAGAATTGCTGACATTTTTTGAGAAAGGTGAGTCTTCAAATGGGTGTGGCTTGAACAGGTGTAGTGAGAGGTCAGATGGAAATGTCCTGTAAGAGGAGAGACTGGCAATGCCTTTGGAAAAAAGTATGTTTTATTATAAAGTAATGCAAGTATATAAATAATACAAAAACACAGGCTGATTTAGAAGAATAAAATTAAAACCCCATAAGAACAACTACCATCTAAACATTTTGATTACTTTGTTCAGTTTTTTTTTAAAGACATAAATAGCTGATTTATGTTTCAGTTCACAGTAGGTATAAAATACTGCTGTCCTTTCCTTCACTGAGCTGTCTTCAGTCAGCAGCCAAGCCCCTTGTTGGTGGTGGGAACTTCTCTCAGTGACTGTAAGGACTCCCTGCCTGTCTTGTAGTGGGATCATGTAAGATTCCCGTGGTCTTAACCCCAGACGTCCAGGCAGAGCGTCTCTCAGCCTGTCCCTGGCTGGTGCGCTGGGGCTCATGGGACCTTGCGGCAGGGACTCCTGCCCCACAGAGCTCCACCTTCTGCTCGGGGTAGGGTATTTTCACTTTCTCTGCTTAAAGCACCCCCCACCCCCCCACCGCTGTTCCCTCTTGGGGACAGCCTAGCATAACCCACCTTAATGTGCACCTACAGACATAATGTTGGCCTCTTTTTTCTGAGGTAAGAAAGGAGTTTTACTTTTTAAAAATAACTTACTCTGGTAAAATGATATGGTGAGTTATGATACCCTATTTGTACTTTGTGCTTTTGTACTTTTCCATGTCATTTTTCAATTTTTGCAGAATATACCTTTGTATAAATATGCACCATTTACTTGGAGATAACATGAAATCAGCAACTTTATATGAAAGTTTTGCTGTATTTTGGATAGGTTCTGGAGGTGGGATTACTGAGTCACGGGCATGACTTTTTTTTGTATTATTACCAGAGCACCCTTTATCATCACTCTACCGCAAATGTAGCAGCTTGAAGCAGCACCCATTTATTAGCTCACAGTTCTGTGGGCCTGAGGTCCAGGCACTGCAGGGCTGGTTTCTCTGTTCAGTGTCTCATGGGCTGAAACCCAGATGTCAGTTGGCTGTGTTCTTATCTGGAGACTAAGGAAGAATCTGCTGACAAGCTTATTCAGTTGTTGGTAGAACCCAGTTCCTGGGAGTATGGCACTGAGGTCCTGTTCTTTTATGGGTGCTATTTAGGGGTCACTTTCAGGTCCTTGTTATGTGGTCCCTCCACCATTACATGTTTGCAACAGAATCTTTCTCATGTCAAATCCCTCCCCCTTTGAATCTCTGACTTCCCCTGTCTCTGGCCTCAAGACCTAGATTTAAAGAGCTCATGCGGTTAGGTCACTGTGCTCCCCCACCTCCTGCCGAGAACTTTTTCATCTTTCCAAACAGAAACTCTGCTCATTAAACAATATTCCCCATTCCACACTCCCACCAGCCCCTGGCAACCTCTTTTCTACTTTCTGTTTCTATGAATTGACCTGCTCTAGGTATGTCATGTAAGTGGAATCATGCAATATTTGTCCTTTTGTACCTGGCTTATTTCACTTTGCAGCTTTCTGCAAGTTCATCCAGGTCATAGCGTATATGCCGCTGGATGTAGATGCCACATTTTCTTTATCCAACCCAGTCATCTGCTGATGGACATTTGGGTTGTCCCAGGTCTCTCTGTCTGAAGGTCAGCTGATTTTGGGCCTTAATTACACCTAAAAATCCCTTCATAGCAGCACCAAGATTAGTGTTTGAATAAGGGAGAGAAAAATGTGTGTGTATACCAAGGCCCCAGAATGGTGGGGCTACCTTACGATTCTGCCTCCCACACACACTGTAGAAAGATTATATTGCCCCTGGTTGGGGGGGTGGGGTACCATCTTGCCTTCTTTCATACCTTTTAATCTATTAGTTGCACAGAAGAGTTCTGGAAATGGCATCTCATTTCATTGCCTGCCTTTCCAGCTGAGCTTTTCTCTGCTTACGACTCTAGTGGAATGAAGGATGCATAATAATCACTTTTCAGCCTCCAGTGGGAGTACTCTGGCTTCTTGTCCCCAATATTCCCTGTGACGTGTTTCTTGAGGGCATATGAATGTGAGAAACCCATTAATAAGACCAGAGAGAGTGAGGAAGGGAATTTCTGTTTACCATTTGTGATTTGTGAGTGCAGCAAAATGTACAAAATGGATTCTTTCTTGATAGTCTCATGGAAATATCTTAGAAGCATTTAGTAATCAAACAGTGGCACATGCTGTTGCAGCTAATTCCCTGAGAATGTAACAGGATTTGAACTTATCCAGGTAAGATAATTTAGGACTATAACTGCCATGATTAAAATCAGTCTCATGCTTCTTCCTGAATGCACACTTATTTGATTCAGTGTGGTCTTTGGGAATTGGATGTTAGATCCTGAAAAGATGGTGCTCGCTAGGAATTGGGAGACCTAGACAATAGAAACCAACAAAATGTGCTAGAAATTTTAGATTAAATGGCAACTGGGCATCTTAATAACAAGAATATGACTGTGGATTCAGCAGGGGTACTGTTTGAATATTACCAATTGCCATGTGGCTTGGAGAGGTATGTGTGCATGTGCGTGTGTGTGAATGATGTCTGTATGTGTGTGTGTCTGTGTGTGTGTCTGTGTGTCTGTGTGTCTGTGTGTGTGTGTGTCTGTGTGTGTGGTCTAGGTTAGGTTTCCCTTGGAAGGTACTCTTAGTAGCTCTGTTTGCTCTGACCTAGTCTGATTCTCCGAGGGCTCCAGGACTTTATGTCTCCTCAATTTAGAATACACCAGCTTGGTTGTGTGTAGTTCTGGTGTTGGGGAGAACAGGTGGCGTCTGCCCTATTGTAGAGGGTCAATGTCAGGTTTGGATGAGAACTAGAGGGGGATAGAGGTGTCTCCTGTAGAGACCTGATGACCTGCCAGGTGGGGGCATCTCGGGCCATGGGAGAAGGAAGACCCAAAGATGCCTGTCTTTTCCAACCTGAGCTGGCTTTGCCGGCAGCACTGAATCTGTGTTCTCTCTCACAGGCGACTGCAATGTCTGTGGACTGTCTGGGGCAGCACGCAGTGCTTTCTGGGTAAGTGAGCTTGCAGAATTTGCCGTGATTTCTGGGGACAAATTGCAAATCAAAAGGTTGCTGGGAAGTTGAAAAGTACTCTTATATTTAAGGTTTATGGTCATAGGGTTTCATTTTGCTATTCTAGTGACCCCAAGGGTACCTGTAGGGATTGTTTGCAGTTTATTTTTGTCTCTGCCTTAAGGGGTAAGCAATAAAATTCCTTTGAAATTTTAGTGACTTGTAGTTTGGTCTTGAAATTGCAATTTTCTGTTTACTGCACAGACTCTTTAGAACTATGCTATCAGGTTTGGCCTAATAGGTAGTTACTAGGATTGAGATGATCCAGGTTCTAGCTTGGCAATGCCATTAATTATAAGCCCATGGACATTTATTCAGTTAGCTTCCCTGGACTTCGGTTTTCTTATGAAGGAATTCAATTTCATCATGAAGTTGAACTGCATAATTTCTGCAGTGTCTTCTGGTTCAACATTTTTAAGATTCTGGGAATTAAGGGCCATCCCTGCATTTGCTAAGCAGCCTAGCAGTGCACCATTTGGTGACATTTAATGGTCAGAGTCCCCTTTCCCTTGTATCTTGTTCTCAGTCACTGCCCCTGACTCTCAAATTCAGCTATATTTTCATTACATTGGTTGTTTATGAAACCATTTCTAAGTCAATGGAGTATTTTCTGTTAACTAATTATTTTATTTTGAAATCCTGTTTAATTTACCTTTAGCAAAAAGCAAAAAATAAATATTTGAATAATTCAAAATAAACATTTAAATAATGCAGTGGGAAGTTAGATCTCCCCGTTCTCCCCAGACACTTATTGATACCATTCTTTTGTGTCACACTGGATGTATGCATGGTAAGGAAAAATTGGTATGTCTCTTTTCTGACCCCTCCCTACTCACTTTTTTTGAAAACAGCTTCATTGAGGTGAAATTCACATACCTTGCAATTCACCTATTTAAAATATATAATTCAATGGGTTTTGGTATATATTTTTAATTTCCTGCTCAGTTTTCAAACCTTTTTTTTTAAATCAGGGAAATACCTATACATAGTTTAAAAAGTCAGGGGGCATTACAAGGCTTAGAAGGCTTAAAATGTGAGACGCAACCTTTTCCCCCACCCCAACCCCACTCACCAAGAAGCAGCTCCTTGAGATTCATTTAGCTGTTTCTTCTGGCTTGCCTCCACTTTCCCAAACAGTGTATGTGTACTGCTGTACCTCAATTTATCTATCATAGATATTTCAGATTGACTTCTTAGAATAGAAGATGAGGATTTAGTATTTTTACTTTGTCCTAGGAGTCTCTTACATGACTTTCCCCCTCCTTCCAATATAGGTATATAATAATTGTTGGTTTGAATCAGTATTTGGGTTCTTTTTCTCAGTTACTGTTGAGAGCTCCTATGTCATTCATATTTTGGACTGTGTGTGACCTATTTTTTTTCTTTGGAAGCTCTGAAATCCTGCCTTTGTCTCTAGTGTTATCTCTATCTCTAGTGTGTATGAAATTGGCACCGCGATTGCTTTGATGTGTTTTTTTCATCCATTGTGCTGACTACTTAGAGGACCCCCCCTTTTTAACATCATGACTTATGTTACTGAAACAAATAAAAGTGTAATATATACTTGGCATCATGTTGTCATATTCATAATCCAGACAGTACTGTCAGGTGCCCTGGAATCACCGTAATTCAAATGTTAGACTTCTGAGCATTCACCGAAGCGGATACTGTCATTTAGAGCATTCCAGGAGAAAATGGGGTTCTGGAATTGGCAGTCGTGCAAGTGATCCTGGTGTGGTGTGTTCTCAGATACGTATATGTCCACTTTGTTTTTCAACATGATCTTGAAGTTCACCATTTTGTTTTCTTACAGTGAACTTGAAAATATAGAGAGTATGGTGTAACTTAAGTGCCCAGCTCAAATAAACTTACAAATTTATACACCTGTGTGATCACTATTCAGATTACGATACAGAATAATTGTTAGCTTCTTGGAAGACCCTTGAGTCTGGAAATCTGTCTTTAGTTTGGAGAAGTTTCCCTGCATTAGGTCTTTGATACTTTCCCTGTTTCCTCTTCACATTCTTTCAGCTCTCCTGTTAGTCCGTGTGGGATGCCCTCTATGGATTCCTTTTGGTCTTTTTGTTTTACATTTTGTGAGTTTTCTTCCATTTTAACTTCCAAACCATCCATCAGATTTCTTTATTTCAACTGTTACTTTAATTTCCAAAAGCTCTTCCTTTTTCTCAGTTCTTTACCTTGCCTTCTTTTACCTCTCTGAAAATATTCTAGGCTTTTTTCTTTCCTCTGGCTGTTTCCCTTTCTTCCTTTTGGTTGTTGGTCTCTGTTTTTCAGGTTTCCTCGGGTGCCTGATGCTCACCGGCTGTCTGTTAATATTGAAGAGTGATGGAAATCTCTGCTTACGTGTGTGATGGTGGGGTTCCCTCAGGGGGTCAGAGGGGAACAGGCCCTTTTGTTGGAGGGCGCCTGAGTGTCACTGTCTCCAGGCTTTTCATGTTGTTTGTTTGTTTGCTTTTGTTTTTTCTTGGGCTGGCCGTTTCCTCCTGAGGAGAGTCTTGTGGTCACTAGTCACTGTCCTAAGACAGGAAGCTGAGTTCTGTGGCTGCCAAGTCAGGGAAGAGGCCCGCGGTCTCACTCCCCTTCATGCCCTCCTGAGCACAGCACCTCACACTCGCCCTCTGCTGTGCGTCTTGTTGCAGTCCCTCGGCTTCTGTGAAGTAGCTTCTCTGTAAAGCACATGACCACCTCCACCTGGTCACCTGGCTCCGTGGGATGCAAGTGAGCCGCTCCTCTTTGCCCTCTCCCGACCAGCTCTCCCTGTTCTGTTCTGCCTTCGGCTCTCCAGCCCTCTGCCGTGCCCTCGCCTGCAGACCAGCCTCCTAACCCCGCCTGGGTTCTGCAGTGTGACTCAGCCATGTCTCACTCGCTTCCCCTCTACAGGGACGTGGGCATCAGCTCCTTTTACTCTGAATCAGTCACCACTTGTCCACCTGCTTTGCATTTCCTCTCTCATCTTCCTTGTCTTTGTGGGGTTCTGTCTTTTATGTTTTTACTCTTATTTTAGTGGGTCTTCAGTGGGGCATGAAAACAGACACGTATGTTCAGTCAGACGTGTTTGTTGTGAAGAGCCCACCTTGAGCTGCTCTCTGCTCCATAATGTCTCTGACCCCTGTTGGTGCACATCCCATATATAAAGCTCTTAGCTGTTTCCTGGCATTTTAATGGGAAGATGCCAGCCTGCCTGCCAGGATCAGGTGATTCCTTCAGAGGAAGTCAGAGGTTCTAGATCTTTGTTCCATACCAACTGCCTTGGAAGTCCCACAAGTTCTGTGAACGTGTATGACTTACCTGTACTTTCCTTCTACTCCCTTAACCATCCTTCCTAGGGTTTCTGCCAGTCTTACAAGCCATGTTAACGTTAATTTCTTATCTCTTCTGAGCAGCTACTGTTAATCTTTTTCTTCATTATTGAGCCCACCTCTCCTCATTGACGTCCAGGGGCTTGGAAGCTAACAAAGAATCAACAGCTGATGGCTGCTGAGGTATTCACACACCAAAGATTTTTCACTTAAAAGGAAAATAGGAGAACGTAGGACAACACTGTTTTTAGTTCCTTTCTATTGATTAGTGCCTTAAACAGTATTGGCACTTAATATATTATTTTCATTATTACTATTTTTTGGTTATTACTGATAGATTTAATTAAAACCTCCTGATAGATTAAATTTAGTTCCCTTCACCAGGTAGTCAGCTGGCAGGGGAATTTGAGATTTTCTGTAGGATATTTGGTTAAGTGATAAGTGATTATTTAACATATTTATTGAATGCAGAACACTGCCTGATGATGAGGAATGTACAAAGACATTTGAGACATGGCCTGTGCTCCAAACACTCAGTTTGGAACGAGAGCCTTGGTGGTAGTAGTTCTGCTTACCCAGAATGCTGCAGTCAAAATACAAACTGCCCCGTGGAGTTACATAGAAGCTGTGGTTTTCCTAGATGGGGAATTGCGAGAGGCGAGAGGCAGGGTTGGAGCTGAATCCAGGGAAGAGGTCAGGCTTTCATGGATATGGTAGGAAGACCATCTCTAGAGGCAGACTTTCATGGGGATACGGCTCCTGCCTGCCTACCAGCCACCTTGAGTTACTCTTGAGATAAACGTCTTGTGTCTCTGGGTATTTTTTGAGCACTGTTTACAAGCCTCATGCAATTCCAAACCTGCTTTTCTGTCTTAATGCTAATGATGTTATGTAATTACAACATTGGTGTTGTTTTCCTAGCCGCCGATTCCTATACATCGTTAACCTAGATGCCCCTTTCGAAGGTCACCGAAAGATCTCTCGCCAGAGCAAATGGGACATTGGAGCTGTGCGGTGGAATCCTCATGAGAGCTTCTCACACTATTTTGCTGCTTCGGTGAGCTCATTTAAGAAGTACAGGGAAAGGCTTTTAAACATGTGATCTGGGGCTGGTATGTCTATGTTCTATTAGAGGAGAGAATGTAGCCCTCATTTCTTAGGCAGAAAAGAGTTGTGGATGGTTCTAAAAGGAAAATAAAGGCAAATTACAGGTTAAGAAATTTGTATGTATGTGTGAAAAGAATTGCTGGTACCATCAGGCCTTGTATTTCTAAGGATTGAATTCAGATTTTGCAAGGTACACGGGTAGATGCTTCCATGTCTGCATGTGCTAAGCACCAATTTTCATTAGCAGGAATGTAACCAGCCAGGAGTCTGAAAGACGTTCTAAAGCTGGTCTGGGGCTGACCTTCATGCTTTCAGAAGGATCAGAAGATTCCATATACTCTTCCCCTCAAAGGAAGGGTTTCATTAGATAAATTAACCCCCTGATTTTTTGTGCCTGTTTGTATGTAAATTTTTCTGGGGAAAAGATGCATGCATTTTATTAGGTTTTCTAAGAGATTCATAACCAAAAGCGATCTGGGTTAGATCATCTCTGGTCTCTTTGGCCGGATTCTACATCAGCATTTTATTCTCTTCAAGCAATTAGAGACCCAGGCCAGAAGAACAGTGCCAGGAGGAATCCTTTCTGTCATTGAAGGGATACAGCCATTCACAGGCTGTCTGGGTCTGTTCTTATCAGAAGTGACGGTCTGAGAAAAGAAAGGGCACGTTGTAGTTTTAGAGCAACAAAAAGCTGCTTTTCCCCATCATTTCCAAAGTTGAATCTGACTACCTGACCTTAACCATCGATGTTTGGGAGTTGAGCTGGTTTGGAGACTGTTCTGAAAGAGGGGAGAGTCTGTCTGCTGCTTTCCCGTTCTCAACACCTTTCATGTGTGTTAAGGAGACGCTGTTTCATTGTCTTCTGCCTCTAGATCCTCAGCTTCCCTCACCCCCAGCCCCTGATCATTTGGTCCTGGGCTCTTCCTGACACTGTTGATAATTCTAATTAGGTTAGATAATTCTTCTTGGTGGGGGCTGTCCTGTGCATGGTAGATTTAGCAACATGCCTGGCTAAATCTTAGTAGAATCCCCACCTCTGTCATTGTGACAACCAAAAATGTCTCTTGACATTGTTTGATGTCCACTAGGAAGCAAAATCGCCCCTGATTGGGAGTCACTGATTTAGGCTGACCCCTCAGTACTTGGCCCAAGTGGATCAGCACTGCATTTGTTTAGAAATGGCAATAAAGAGCCCCCCCTTTTTAAGGCAGTTTATCATTTTAAAGTGAACAATTCAGTGCCATTTGCTACCTTCACAATGTTACGTAACCATCGCCTCTATCTCGTTTCCAAACATCCTGTCACTCCAAAGTAAAACCTCTGCTGTCAAACATTTCTTCCCGTTCCCTCCTCTTCCTGGATCCTGGCAGCCATGGGTCTGTTCTGTGTTCTGTCTCTTTGAACCTGTGTATTATGGATGTTTCATACACATGGACTCATATGATGTGACCTTTTATGTATGACTTCTTTATCCATGTTGCAATATATACCAGTACTTCACTGGTTTTTATGGCTGAATAATACCCACTGTATGGATAGGCCACATTTTGCTTGTCCTTTCATCCACTGATGGACACCCAGGTTGGCTGTTGTGACCAGCACTGATATGAACATGTGTGTACCTGTAGTTTTTTGAGTCCTTGTTTTCAGTTCTTTCACTGTATACCTGGTAGTGGAATTGCAGGGTCATGTGATAAGTATGCGCTTAACATTTTGAGGGACCATCAAGCTGTTTTCTACAGCGGCTGAACTGTTTTGCAGTCCTACCAGCCATGTACAATGATTCTCATTTCTCCTCACCAAAAATTATTGTTTCCTGTTCTTTTATTTTTTCGTTTTTAAGTTATAGCCACCCTAGTGGGTGTGAAGTGGTATCTCACTGTGATTTCAATTTGCTTTTCCCTCATGACTACTGATGTTGAGCATCTTTCCATGCGCCTCCTGGCCATTCACTTATCTTTTTTGGACAAATGTCTGTTCAAGTCCTTTGTCCATTTTTGAATTGGGTTGTTTGACTTTTTGCTATTGAGTGTGGTAGTTATCTATATATTCTTGATACCAGCCCCTTATCAGACATGTGACTTGCAAATGTTTTCTCCAATTCTATAGATTTTCTTTTCAGTTTCTTTATAATGTCCTTTGATACATAAAAGTTTAAATGTTGATAAAGTTCAGTTTACTGGTTTTTTTTTTCTTTAATTGTTCTTGGTTAGAAGGCAACTTTTCTTCAGCAGAAGAGCTTTGGGGGAGTTAGGTGAATCTGAGGTCAAGTCCTAGTTTTAACACTCACTATCGTATCTTGAGCTCTCCCCCAACTCTGCGCCTCAGCTGCCTCATCTGTAACGGGGGTGATGACACCCAGTGTGCAGTGTGGTGAGAAAGAGTAGAGGGCAGGCTTCTTAGTTCCTCTTCCACAGACCGGCACTAGGAGACCCTTTGGAAATGGCAGGGAATATTGTTACAAGCTGAGAGGGTGACAGGGCTTTTTTTTCACTTCTGTTCCTGTTGAAAGCTATTTTGAGGCCTATCCTTTTGACAGGAACCTTACCTATTTAGAATTAGAAGCTGGCATTTCTGAATAAAAGTCTCAGAACTTTATACATCTGTCTGTTTCTGACCAAAAATGACTATCAGCCTAATAAATATATATGTATAATATATAGATCTCCATATCAATTCAGAAAATATTAAATAGCCTATTGGTAATTAATCTATTAGTTATCTTTATTTACATTCAGTGTGTTTCATAACTCATGATATTTAGGGAGCCTTTACTGACTTCTTTTTTTAAAATTTTATTCTATCAAATGTGCATCACAGTGGTTCAACAGTCCCCGTCCCTCCCCAATTCCCCCTGCTCCCACCCCTCGCCTCCCTTTGGTGTAACCACTAGTCACTTCTCAGTGTCTGTGAGACTAATGCTGTTTTGTTCCTTCTGTTTTGCTTTGTTTTTATATTCTGCAGATAAGTGAAATCATATGGTGTTTGTCTGTCTTTGCTGGTGTTTTTCACTAAGAATAATAACCTCTAACTCCATGTTTATGCAAATGGCAGAATTTCTTTTCTTTTGATGGCTGAATAATATTCCATTGTGTATATGTACCACATCTTTTTTGTCCATTTATCTACTGATGGACGCTTAGGTTGCTTCCATATCTTCGCTATTGTAAATAGTGCAATGATAAACGTAGAGGTGCATTTATCTTTTTGAATCAGACATTTTGTTTTCTTTGGGTAAATTCCTAGGAGTGGAATTACTGGGTCAAATGGTATTTCTGTTTTTTAGTTCTTTGAGGGACCTCCATTCTGCTTTCCACAGCAGTGGCACCAGTTTGCAGTCCTACCAACAGTGTAGCAGAGTCCTGTTCCTCTGCACCCTCCCGCTGGCTTGTTGTTTCTTTAAGTGAAGTGCAGTTTGATCTTTTTTTCTACTGTAGTTGTGGTTTCTTCTGGCCCATTTTCCCCATGTCTTTCTGCTTAACCCTTTAAGACATTTAATATAGGCACATTTCAAGGAGTTCTGTATAATGTTGCTTTCTACAACATCCTTTTGGTGGTAGTTCTGTTTTCTTTCTTGTGCGTCTATGTTAATAAAGTGTGGTAGATGCTTCTAGGCATTTGAGAGTGGGAACGGCTAGCTAAAAACATCTAGTGTGACAGTAACTGGAGAGAAGGGTGAGTGACCTTCAGGGAAGGGAAGCAGTTCCTCTAGTGGTCGGGGGACAGCTCCATAACCCGTAATTCGTGCTCTGTGGTGCGGCAATAGGTTCAGCTCAGCTGTACCTATTCAGGATAGATTCACTTTGGAGGTAGCATCGCCTCTCCATTTTGAAATTCAGAGTGCCATAGACTGAGCTGAGGTTAGCTCACGTGTTATTCGTACTTACCTTGATGGCTTTTAAATCAAGTTCAACCTGTAGCATCTTTGCCCTGCACGTTGGTTTCTCCCTAGCTTCCTCTTCTCAGCCCCAAGCAGATTGGGGTGAGAGCGTGTGGGCTGATGTGCCACCTGCTGTCTCCTGTCCCTTGTTTCTTTCCAGAGTAACCAACGGGTTGACCTTTATAAGTGGAAAGACGGCAGTGGGGAAGTTGGCACAACCTTACAAGGCCACACTCGTGTGATCAGGTAAGCAGCAGCCCTCCACAGCTCTCTGGCCTGCCTGACTTTGTCAGAGTCCCTTGTGACGAAATGAAGACACTGTCATCCTCCCATGTCTTGACCCTCTGTGTTGCGCTGGCCCTGGGTGGCTGTTGGGTCCTTAACATTCACTGAAGTGGCCCAATTACAGTAACTTCTGAAGCTACTAGAAACTAAATCTGCTGCTGCTTTGGAACTGATTTTTTCCTTGTTGTTGTTCTGTTTTTTGTGTTTCCAGTGACTTGGACTGGGCAGTGTTTGAGCCAGATCTCCTAGTTACCAGCTCTGTGGACACCTACATCTACATTTGGGATATAAAGTAAGAATAATTAAGAGGCACAGCTGCGTGGTTGTGGAACAATCTCGGACCTTCATTTAGAATCAGGTGTCTTGGTTTGGTTTCCCCTGGATGCAGACCTTGAGACAGGGATACATGGCAGACATGTTATTCAGGAGGTAAAGAAACACTGGTAGTGGGTAGAGAAAAGAGGTAGGCTTGGGAAAGCCACTAATACAGGGTGCCCTCTCTGTCTGAGGACCTCTGAACAGGTGGAGTTTAGTCTTACTGGATAGCACCAGGTGCTAATGTAAAACTGCCTCCTTAGGGTCTAAGGCGTGGGGGTACCCGCCCCCATCAGTCCCTGCACCTGCCGCAGCTCTCAGCCCTTCAGGCCTGTCACGAAGGTTTGCACAGTGGGCTTCTGCCTCCCGGGAAACCCCTTCGGCAGAGAAATGCAGGTGCTGGTATTTGGAAGTCAGTCTGGAGTTTACTGAGTTTACTGCAGTGGCAAGGGCTGTGGGGGGGTTTGGGCACAGATGCTCATCTGCCTCAGTGGCAGTGCTGAGACACATGTGCTCTGTGCTTTGTGAGCTTGAGTCCCATCTGTCGGGCTGGCAGCCACCTTGTGGGGCTGCTGTGCGTGGAGGGAAGCGTAAAGGAGCATCGGGGGCCAGGAAGGTTCTCAGTGAGCGTCCGTCCCCCTCCCTTTGTAGAGTGCCGTTCCCTGTGTGACAGTGAGAGGCGACTGACCCATGGGTGTGTCTGTACAGTGTCTACCCTGCTACACCCCTTGCCAGGCGGCCACATAGCAGTGGCTTTGTGCTGTTTTACACTGAAAGGCAGGCTGTGGGCAAAAGGTGAGGCCTGGATTGAGGTTTGCCAGATGGGGCAGGTGGGTGAGCTGGACGGAGCGCTGGGGATGTGTGTTGGCACCGATCAGCACCTAGTTAGTCTAGTTAGTCAGTCTAAGGTAGTGCCAGGTGAGGGATGGAGCGCTATGCTCAGGAAAGCGGACAGGAGCTCCTCAGCAAAGCAAGCTGGAGCTGTGGGCAAAGTCAGCGTTTTCTTCCTTTACATGAAACAGTTGTTTTCATAATTTAATGATGAAAAGACACTGAGCAGCCGATTCCTCTTCAGGAAGAAAGTCCTCTCAGTTTGGAAGTGGGGGCTGTAGATTTACCTCCGCTGACCCAGCCCAGGCTCCTGCCCAGCCCTGTCATTTATGATTTGGGGGGGAACGTACCCCTCTGACTTTATAGTAAACCAAGGAGCCTCTGTCTCCAAGAGTCTCCTGTTGTATCCAGGACTAGTTTTTGTTTTGTTTTTTAATTGTGGTTAAAAAAGACAACATAAAATTTACCATCTTCACCATTCCTAAGTACACAGTTAAGTATATTCACATTGTTGTGTAGCAGATCTTCATTTCTAGAAACGTTTGCATCTTACAAAGCTAAAACTCTGCTCACTAAACAATTTCCTATCTCCCCTTCCCCCCAGCCCCTGGCAAGCACCATTCCATTTCTGTTTCTGTGGATTTAGATACCTCATGTAAGTGGAGTCATGCAGTATTTATCTTTTTTTGATGGACTTGTTGACTTAATGTCCTCAGGTCTATCCATGTAGTAGCATGCAACAAGGTTTTCCTTCTTAATACTTTGTTGCCTGTGTAGACCACGTTTGTTTATCCATTCCTCTGCTGGACCTGAGGGTTGCTTCCTCTTGGCTGGTGTGAATGTCCAGAGTGGTTTCTTACTCCACCTTTGAAATGCTGTTGGGAAAGTTTTTGCAGAGTTATGCTTCCATGTCCGTGACCTTGTCGCCTGTAGGAGAAATGACATCAGGAAAGGATTCTTTGGCTTCCCTGGCCCCTCCATCAGCGTCATCCAGGACATGCTGAATCACATAATTTGTTTTCTGTGGATGCCACTGTATGGTTTGAAATTCAGACTCAGACTCAGTTGAAGTGACCGAGAAAGTTCTTCTGCATAGAGGGAGCTCGGCCTCTCTGTGTGCTGCTTTTTAAGTTCCTCACATTCCCACTGAACTCCAAGAACCCATCGAAAGGGAAGTGGAGAAATGCATGCAGAGGGTGAAGAGTACCAGGTGGATGGTAGCACATGAATTGAGGTTTCCTGATTTTTCTGTTTCAGAGACACAAGGAAACCTGCCACTGCACTGTCTGCTGTAGGTGAGTGTACGCTCCCCCTGCCCGCCTCTGCCCTCCTGGCGCCTCCATCCCTTTTCTCACAGGGCCCCCAGGCCCCCCGTGCTCTGTCCCAGCTTGTGTAATTGTTAAGTCCCACGTCGCAAAGTGCTTGCTTCAGCCTGCCCTCAGAAGTTAGAGTCAGGGCTGCTGAGTGTGGTCAGAAACTTACTTCAGAATGTAAGGATAGGAGCCACATTTGTTTGTAAACTTTTTACTGTGGAAACTTCAAATGTATATAAAAATAGAAGAAAAACAACTACCTTGTGTTCATCATCCAGCTTCAGCAATTATCAACATACAGCCAATCCTATTTCATCTTCACCTCTACCCACTGCCCCCACCCCATCTTCTTTGGGGTGATTTTGAAGCAATTCTTATCTGTCATACCATTACATCAACAAATACTTTGATAAGTAATATTTTTGCAAGAGTGGAATCCTTTAAAAAAACATAACCACAATACCATTAGCATACCTAAATATAGTAACAGTAACTTTTTAATATCACCAGATATTTAAGCAGTATTCAAATTTTCCCAGTAGGCTCCGTTGTTGAATTTACAAATTATTTGAATCAGTATTCAAATGAAGTTCATACTAATAAGTGGTTGACACATTTCCCATCTTTCTTAGTTGGTGGGTTTCTTCTTCTGCTTGTTTGGTTGGGTTTTCTTTTCCTGCAGTTTACTTATTGAAGAAATGAGGTTGTTTGTCATATGGCTTCCCCACAATCTAGATTATGCCAATTGTGTCCCTGTAGTGTCATTTACTGTGGACTTCCTGAAACTTTGAAATTACTTTCTGATCTCCCTATTTTTATCATGCAGTTGGAATCGACTGTTTTTGGAAGTCTCCCTTGGGGCTGCTGTGCAGTTTTCCCACTATTCCCTCAGAGTAGGATTTGGGCACAGAACTGGTACACCTTACAGTGATGAAGCCCAAGTATCAGTATTGTATTTTGGCATTTTGATAAAAATGTATCATGTTATCTGTCTTATAAATCTTGTTCCTTTGTGTATTCTTGGTATATTTTAATTCTCATTTGGTGTTTACTCTAAAGTGATGACATGATTCTTTTTCCCTGCAACCCCTATACCTTGTCACTTAAAGGGATTTAGCATCACGACTGTATTAAGCAGCTGGGTTATCTGTTCTGTGAGGTTAGGAGCCATTTCTTTCTTGTTAGTGCTGTGGACCAAGGTCAGCATTTATGCCTGACCCAAGGAGATGCCCCATAAATGTTTGTTAAATGGATTTGGAATGGAGCACTAAATGCCTCTGTGCTGAGCGCTTAGCACTTGGACTGATTTCGGCCTCTCCTGCTTTAGGCATTTAGGATCTGAGACATAGGATGGCTCACAGACGTGGTTGCAGAGGACGTCCAATCATCCAACTGAATGAAAATACAAATAGTCTGTAAATGCCTCAGTCATCTCCCCCGACTTTGTTACTCCTGCTTACAGGTTTCCAAGTTGGATTGGTTGTAGAGGAATTCTGAAAAGACGGACAGGTGTTTTTTTTTTTTTTTTAGCCTCTTTGTTCTAGTTGCTTTCCTTTCTAAGCCTTTCTAAAAAATAGAGGTGAGAAACTTCTTTCCTTTTTGCACTGAATTCAGTGAGCTTTCTCTCTGGGGGCAAGCTGCCCTGGGAGAAAAGAGGCAAATGAGAGGCATGCAGACCTTTATAAGCAGCTTGATCTGACGTACCCTGATGGGTGCAGCCTTGACTACTACCTGGGTCTGTCGTCCCCATTTTCATCTTCCCGCGAGTGCATCATTTATACCTCTGGGGTGGGGAGTCAGTAAAAGCCTGCCCATGTGTACTCCAGGCTGTTCTCTGGCTGAGAACTCATACCTTCTTGGACCTCTACCTGACTCTGGTGTCATGATCCTATAAAGCAGGTTGAATTAGGGAGTCCCCAAAATCCTCTGGGAGGCTTCCTGTTCTGCGGGACCACCCCCCCATCCCCACTGGGAAAAGTATATATTCTTGGAACTCTTCAAGTAATGCCATCCTGAGGAGATGGAGCAGCCTCTTCTTATTCATTATCTGATACCCTTTCTTGCAAAGAAACTGGGTCTCCTAGGTAATGCACTCCCTCCTCATCTTCAGGGGTCTCCACCATTCATTCTCAGATAACTTAAGATGCCCTGTGTCTCAAGGAGAAAACACAACAAAGAAACTTTCACCAGAACCAGGCAAGGATAAGTTCTGGACCTTCTCTCTATTTCATGTTGGAGTCTTAAGTCCTTGCTTTACCTGTCACACTTGCTAGGCTCCTTGGACCAGGCCATTCTCCCAAACCCTCCATCTACTGTGGTGTCCCCAGTAATAAACACCTGCCTGAAGGGAGAGGTGTCAAAGTAGAAGTGTCATGTGTTATCTGAGCAAGAGCAAGAAGAGGCAGAAAGGAGAGCCATTGTGTTGTTTTGGTTTAACTTAATTATTTTTAGGAATCAGCTAGAAGTACTGATGTGTCGTAGTTTTCTCCACGTCTCAGCCCTGTCTGGCATCTTCCAATATGCCTCCTTCCTTAAGTAGCTCTTCTGTCGTTGTTACCTCTGTGTTGACAGAGTGAGGAAGGAGTCCTCACAGCACCAGGGGTGTTCCTACCTCTGACTCAACACAGGGCCGGTGGCTGTGCCTGACCGCTGGCAGGGAGATGAGTGTGTGCGGTGGTATACACCTAACCTGAGTGCAGAATTAGGCAACTGTGGGGCTTATTCTTCTGCTGAGCTTCAGCTGGAGGCTATGTTTTTCCAAAAGTGTCCCTTCAAAAACAAAGAAGAGGGAAGGAGCAGGCATTGAGCTGAGGCCCTTCTGACGGGAGCTCAGCCTTGGAAAGGATGGAGAGCTAGGCTCTGTGATGAGTCGGGTACCATCCAACAGTGCGCAGCTGCACTGCTTCTCTGCAAGGAAGTACGCTACCCCGCTGGTTCTGCTCAGAGCTAGCCTGTAGATTTTTTCCTAAGTGAGACTGTTTTCTCAATTAGGTGACTCTGATCCAGTTCCCATGTGCTCACTCATTTAGCTTTTGGCTTCATATTCTCTTTAATGTTGGCTCTGGTGCAGTCATAGAATCTTAAAGGGTCCTGTTCTAATGCAGCCGGACTTCATTATGCAGGTCCCCTGGATATGCTCTGTCCTAGTTCTGGAGGTGTTGAGGGCAGCAGCTGTCTTCCCCTGATTTTTCTTTGCAGCTGGTGCTTCACAGGTCAAATGGAATAAAAAAAATGCTAATTGCCTTGCCACCAGTCATGACGGGGATGTACGGATATGGGACAAGCGGGTGAGTAGTTGACCTCCCCACCCCCCAGTTGGTCTTTAGTTCCTCCCAGAGGGTGTTTAGTGGATGTTGTGGGTGGCAGGATTTGCCTTGAGAGCACAAGGTGTGCTGTCAGCATCTTGGATTGTCATTTTAAGATTACAGCACCAGATCACATTTGCTTCTTGATCAGATTGATGTTGGAGGAAGACAGGGAAATGAGGCATTATCATCAGTGGTTAAGAAAATGAACTGGGCCTGAACGAAGTCAGAGTCCCATTTGTGTTTCCTCCTGACCTGCTGCTAACTAACCTTCTCCAAGCCTCAGTTTCCTTATCTTCAAAGTACAGATAACAGCTGTGTATCACTGAGGAGGTCAAGCCTGAGGGACCAGACAGTACTCGAGAATGGTCCGCAGGCTGCTTCTCCCTGTCCCAGATTGCAAAGTGAAAACTAGCTGTTCTAGGACACCTGCTGTCCTGAATACTTTTGCTATGAATCACTGAGGTGGCTGCTTGGTTTGCTCGAGTCCCCTTTGCAAGTCTAGCTATGCCATCAGCCCCAGAGTTGCCCGCAGATCCTGTATTGTCCCTGCAACAGCCTGGGTACCTGAGAGCATGAGAGAGGGGCAGGCTCCCAGGCTGCTGCTGCTGCTGTCATGGAAGGCCTGGGGGAAGTTTAGGATGATGGCATCAGTGAAAGTAACGACACAGTGAAATTACCGTGTCTGCCTGCTGGTGATGTTAGCATAGATCAGTGGGCCTGTGCAACCCGCAGCTGGCACTCCTCATCCTTGGGGGGAGCACCCACCTTTAGTTTTCCTGAGGCTTGACTGGGGCTGTGTCAGCTTGGAGCTGACCAGCAGGTCTCGGCATTGCTCTGGCTGCCCTGTACCCTGCCCTGGTGGAAATGGGTCCTGGAGTGGGAGAAGGGGAGTCTGCAGGGCTGGTGCCAGGATGCTGGGGAGGTGGTGGGCTGCTAAAGCCCTCTGCCTCAGGCAGTTCGTGGGGACAAGGTGACTTTAAAAGTAGAGGTTGGGTGGATGCATCTTCTCTGTTAGTTTCTGTTGCTGTTCTGTTAGGCCAGTCTGGTATTAGCCATTCTTCTTCCTCTTTATTTCTTAAACTGAAGATTGGTTTTATTCCTTTTATCCCTAGCGTAGTAAATGGTTTAAATAAATGGTTGTTTGTAGCGCATACATATTTGCTTTAGACTGTTTCCTGAGCCATAGGCACAGTAAACAGTTCGGCATGTAGCCGTGAACTCTCTCAGCACCTGTTTTCCAAGATGTGCCTCTTACCTTGTGAGAAAACACAGCCAGACTGTCCCTTTTAGTCCTCTGCTTGGTCCACTAATACCCCTGATTTCCCTTAGCAAAACGTTTTTCCTGGCTGTTAATACTCAGGACCTCTGCTCAGATGGCCTCTAAGACATGCCGGTCACATTTTTACCTCTGTGGCACTTTCTAGTATCAGCATAGGTACTGATGGTGGCAAACATCAGAGACTGAGACAAACTCAGGGTCAGTGGTAATGTCAGATCTCATTCAGACTCACATCTGACTAATAGTACCAACATTTACTAAGCGTTTGTTATGCATAGACATTGTCCTAAGGAACTATACGTGTATTGATTCATGTCCCTTTATAATTGCCTTTGAAGTAGGTACTGTTTTTATCTCCACTTGGCATATGAGTAAACTGAGGCACTGTTGGTAGGATTTGAACTCAGAAAGGCTGGTTCTGGAGACTGCACTCTTAACCTCATAGACCAATGGTAATTATAGAGGTAATACATGCTCTTTGTAGAAAATATAAAAGGAGAAATAAAAATCATTCATAGTCCTATTACCCAGAGACAAATGCGAATATCTTGATGTTTTCTTATGCTTTTTAAAACATGGTTCATTATATCGTGGGCATAGTTATGTACACTTTTTTCCTTTAACATCACAACAGGTGCATTTTCCCTATGTTATAATCTCTAAGTATAGCTTTTAGTGTCTACATTATATTGGATCAGATAGCTGTTCATAATTGATTCTAAAATTTAATTATTCCCCACTTGTGTTGTTTCTGGTTTGCTAGTGTTTCAAGTAACACCAGTGTGAACATACTTTGTATGTAAATCTTCTTGTGAATTTGGAATGTTCCCTTAAGAAAGGAAAATTTTAAGTCTCTTGATAAAAATGGTCAAATTTTTGTCCCAAACTGGTTGTACTACTTTATATGTTCACCAGCAGTAACGAATGTGGTCTCACCAGCATTGAATATTATTTACAGGTGTTTTCTGATAGCTTTAAAATATCTTAATGTGTATTTCTGAGGTTCCCTTCTGCGTTTGTTCTGTGTGTGCTTATCAGTCATGTTTGTTGCCTCCGGTGATGTGTGTCATTCCCTCTTGGGGTCTAGGTGCTTGGTCACTTTCAGATAGGTAGTTTTCCCTCAGGATTGCTCTGTTGGGATGTCACAGCCCCTCTTCTTGGGTGATTGTGAGGAAGGGGAGCAGGAATTGCAGACCACACAACTATAGGGAGAAGCACCCACCGCCTTTTGTTCCCATGCCTGAGGCCAGATGGGAAGAAGTTAGTCTCATAGGCCCATATATGGAGCCTGCGTGAAGGAGAGCTGGAGAAGTCTTTTCCTGTTACTGTTTTGTTTGCTCTAAACAGAAAGTGCAGTTTCCCAAGGATAAAGACGGTATCTCGTAGTATTATTCTATCCCTGCTCAGCACACAGCTGACTGTTAGCTCCATGCAGACCCTCTGCCTGAATGGACAACACTCAGTGCCGATCCTATTGCAGAAACCCAGCACAGCAGTGGAGTATCTAGCAGCCCACCTCTCCAAAATCCATGGCCTGGACTGGCACCCAGACAGTGAGCACATTCTTGCCACCTCCAGTCAAGACAACTCTGTCAAGGTGAGTGGCACTCATGTGGCAGCTGGGGAGCTGTGTTCAGGAGGCGGATGTGTGGCAGCACTTTCTTCAGAAGGACAGTACGTTACTGTAGTGTGTCCATCTTGGGTGCATGTGCTTCCTGGGCAGATGGGCAAGTAAACCTGGTTATGCAGACCAGCAGGAGTGATGTGCATATATCTGATTTGGCTCCTGGAATGTGTTCAGAGCGTTTTCTTCTTTCCCTTTGTGAAAGGAAGTTAGAGACAAAAACATTTAAAAAGGAAAAGAAATTTACTTGCAGAGAAATTGCCAGGATGTCAGATTTCAGAGAAAAAACACAAACAGATATGTAAGTAGAGTGGAAATGCCCACAGAATTGTTAAGGTTACCACATTTATAAGTAGTCTCTCTGGGGTGGAAAAACAGCAATTTTCTCTCATGATTGTCATATCTGCAGAAGTTTTAACATCTTGAGTCATGAACATTGTAAAAGTCAGGGGTATGGTTGTTTTATTAGAGATTCTCTAAGTTACAGGAAATGCTCAGGGTCTCTGGGTTTCAGGAACCCTGTTATTTTTGGTTTATCTCAGAGGTCTTGTTTGTCTTTCTTCTCCGACTGTGGGAAGTCATGTGTACCCTTGTTTAGAGGGATGTAGGGCAGAGTCACCTTGTGCCATGGTGCCTCCCTGTGGTCAGGTCTCTGCCTGGAAGGACACCATAGAAGTTTGCTGAGCAATTTTGTGATTCAGCATCATTACTTCAATGCTTTGTTTCCATAGGCATGTACAATATCTCTTTGGTATGGTTAGCAGAATTAGAATCATACACTGAGACCTAAAAGTTAACTTCTGCCTGGCGGTTTGCAAATCCCTTGGAGTTGTAATTTATTTGTATGTGCCTGAAGTGTTTTTTTGTTTATTTCTTTTGAGTTTGTGTTTTTGTCCCTATATCCCAGTCAGCCTCTCTTCCAAATTCAGGAACCATCAATTCACTACTTTCTTTGAGGTCACCAAGTATGTCGATATTCAGTGACATCTTTACTTTGAGGTCACCAAGTATGTCGATATTCAGTGACATCTTTACTGCCTGGGAGGCTGAGATTCCATAGTTATTAAATCAGGTAACAGGTCAGTTTCCACATGTGAAACATAGCCTATTCCTTACTCGTAGGCTTAGCTTATGAATTATATGATATTTTGGATGTGGTATTTGATTTCTTCCACTACATCCTGGTAGGAAAGAAGACAGTTCTTATTGAATGTATATAAACATCATAACTGTAAAAAGTTAAGCAATTCATACTTCTATAGCTTTTCTTCTTCCTTCCTAATTCCAACCCTTAAGTAGAATTCATGCCTCATATCGAAATTACTGAGTATCATAGTTCTTCCAAGTGGCAAAGATACCTCAAGACAAATGCTGGCATAGAAGCCACAGGGCATAAATCTGCAAAGAAGTAAAAAGCTAACCTTTTCAAACAATATTGCTTCTCTTTCACTTACCAACTTTACATTTCCCTGTATGGCCCTGGAAGATGACTGGTTAGCCAGAGACGGGTAAGATTCCTCAAGGGAGGAACAACCTAAGACAGGCACAGTTGCAGGTGAGAAATTGGGGATCAACAGAGGTGAGGCTTAGAACCCCACCCCCCTGTTTTGAGAGAAATCTTCTGCATCCGTGGATGTTTTGTTGCCCTTGTCTAGCTCGGATTAATACTTAGTCTATAGGCACAGACCTGATCATCTACATTTGCCCTCTTACAGCACTAAACTATGTTTTCTACCTTTAGCTTGCATGTACCTACCACTTCAGCATTTTATTAAAAACAAAAATAGTAATAATAATAATAATAAGGGAGAAATGTGGGATTCACATATAAATCAAGTATAAAAATCAAATGAATATTCATATTTGACCTGATTGTTTATAGTTCATAATGCGTGATCAAAACCGAAAGTTTCTGTGATGACTGCCCTTGTACGGTTCACCATGTAAGAACTTATTCACTATGTAAGAACTTGTTCATTATGCTTCAGAAGATTGGAGACTGTTGAGAATTAGGCTTGGGGTTGATTAATGATTGTGCATTGAGTCCCCTGTACAGAATTTTATTGTTGTTAACAACCATTTGATCAATAAATATAAGAGATGTAGTTTACCTGACAGTTTATTAGCTTATAATTTGTAGTAATAATTTTTTAATTGATATATAGTTGATATACAATATTATATTGGTTTCAAATATACAGCACAGTGATTCAACAGACACATTATTAAATCCTTGTCCCAACAGTGCAGATTATTGCCTGTCAACATAGAAAGATGTTACAGAATCATTGACTATGTTCTCCATGATGCACTTCCATCCCTGTGACCAACTTTAATTGTGATTGAGATTTTTATGGCTTTATTATCCCCCTCACCTACTCCACCATGCCATCCTCTCCCTCATGGTAACCACTAGTCACTTCTCAACATCTGTGAGTCTGTTGCTATTTTGTTCATTTTGTTTTGTTTTATTTTTATATTCCACAAATAAGTGAAATCATATGGTATTTGTCTTTTTCCACCTGGCTTATTTCACTTAGTATAATACCCTATAGGTCCATTCATGTTGTCACAAATGGCAGAATTTCTTTTTATGGCTGAATAATATTCCATTGTATATATGTACCACATCTTTATCCATTCATCTACTGCTGGACACTTAGGTTGCTTCCATATCTTGGCTATTGTAAATAATGTGGCAGTAAACATAGGGGAGCATGTACTTTTCAAATCAAGAGATTTTGTTTTCTTTGGGTAAATTCCTGCAAGTAGAGTTAGGTCATACAGTATTTCTATTTTTATTTTTATTTTTTTGAGGAACCTTCATACTGCTTTCCATAGTGGCTGTGCCAATTTAAATTCCCACCAACAGAGTAGGAGGGTCCCCTTTTCTCTACATCCTCCCCAACACTTGTTAGTTCTTGTCTTTTGGGTAGTAGCCATTTCTAACTTGTGTGAGTGTAGTAATAATTTTAATTATATTTTTATATTCTGAATTCTGAGGGGTCAGCTAGAATAAGATACCATTGAATGAGTGTTTAATTTCAGTTTGTAAATTATTAAACTGTAATACTGTTGAATTGAGGGTTAGAGCTAGATCAAGAAGAAAGAAAAGGATTTTTCTTACATGACCATTAAACATAGAACATTAACCACAATAAAACTAGCACACATCATTTTAGATAGTTGTTTTTTTCCTGATCTTGGGTTAAGCAGTCTGTTTAACAAAATTTGCCTTCTTATAGTCTAAGAGTTCTCGAAATTCAGATATGGTCTGTTGGTACATTCTCACAGATGGGTGTCTGCCCATGGGTCAAGGTCAACCTTACTGAGAATCCTGTTTCCATGAGACTGTTGAAGAACCTGTTTTTTTTCTTTCATGACTGAGACTTTTCTGATACGTCTTCAGAAGACTTGCTTTCTGATCTATAGCTTGTAGTGGGAGCTCTTTGGCAATAGTAAGAGAAAAGCAGAAGTCATCTATGGATAGGAAGATGGCATGGCTTTGGTTAACTTAATGATAAACAGTTCTATCAGATTGAAACAGACCGTGGTCCTCCATTTACATATGATATTTAATAATTTCATTAGATTCCACAAGGGATTGTCTAGAGAATAAGAACATGTTATAAAGTGAATGGGGACTTTGTCAAATTTCCAGAGTCTAATTTATTCCATAAATTCTGTGTTATGGTTGTTGTCACCAGCTGATGAGCATATATAAATCTAGAAACAAATTTTTTAAAAAAGATTAGTTTTGTTAATAGTTACTATGCTAGTCTTTGTAAATGAAAATGAATACACTTCTGTCCAAACTGAAAAGTAAGCTATTACTGAAATGCACTCATAGTAATATTTTCCTTGTATATAATTAACCTAGAAAGGTTGAGCTTCTCTTTTATTTGCTAGCTTTTCACATATGGTGGACTTGGTAACAGGAAAGCATTCGCAAAGTGTTGAGCTAATTAAAAATCTGGAGAGTGCCGAGCATTCCTTATTATTTCTAGTTTCCCTTCTGTTTTAAGTTGAAGAAGCAAGTTATAGTTAATCTTGTGGCCATCATCTGCGAAACCCAAAAGAAGTTCAGATGGGAAAGCTATCATAATTTTACTATTTTGAATATGGGGCCTGAATTTGGAAAAAAAAAAAGGGTTGTCCTAAGAAGGAAGCATTACCCTGTATGATCCCTTTATACTCACACCTGCCCCCCACTCCTTCCTAACTTCTAGCAGCCACTGATCTGTTCTCTATCACAATGGTTTTGTCTTTTCCAGACGTCATTTAAATGGAATCATGCAGAATGTAACTTTTGGAGGTTGGCTTCTTTCACTCGGCATAGTGCTTTTAAGATTCATCCGTTGTTTTAAGAATCAATAGTTCATATACTTTTACTGCTGAGTAGTAATCCACTGTATGGATATTACAATTGATTATCTGGTGTTCTGTCAAAGGACATTTGGGCTATTTCCAGTTTTTGGTGATTGTGAGTAGAGCTGCTATAAACATTAATGTATAGATTTTTCTGTGAACAGAACTTTTTAGTTTTTTAGGGCAAATGTGTAGTAGCAGGATCAGTGGGTCATATGATGTGTGTGTTTAACTTTTTAAGAAGCTGCTGGATTCTTCCAGAGTGGCTTCTGTTGTCTGTTTTTGAAAAGAAATGTTAAATACCTGAGTAGTTCCAGTTTCAGGCTTGGTCCTGCCCCCTCTGGTGCTGTGTCCTGCTTTCACGACAGGTGCCCAAGCTCTCGGTGTATTGCCATTAGAAGCATAGGCACCTCTAAGGTGGAGTCTGTGTCTGGCTCACCTCTGTGTACTCTGCAACTTCAGGTTCCCACTTGCCGTGTTGGAGAGAGTGGATGAGTGTGCACAGGAGTGAGCTGGTAGCAAAGCAGTCACACAGCCATCTTTTCCTGTGTGACCTTGGGCAAGTTACATCACTTAGTAATTTAGCTTTTGCATTTGAAAAAGAGATTAATAATACCTATTATATGGTTGTTGTAAGGATTAAATGGGATAAAAAACTTAGAACTCTCAACATGTGTCTGAAATGCAATAAGTAGTCAGCACATTACAACTGTTGTTATTAAGTGAGTTACCCTACATGGTGTAAAAATGACACAGGATGAAAACACATCACCCTTACCTTTCAACTGTGAAGACTATTTCCAGGCAGGCTGATGGTGAGCTGCCTTGCGGGATGGTCCTGGGGAAGTGTGGGAGTTCTCCCGTGATGTTTCTATTACTGTGAAAGGAAGGTTTTCTTTTTGTCTCTGTCATAGTAACATGGCTATGGGGGCCGACTGAAATGCACCATGGACATGTGCCTTTAAAGGACAAAAAGCAATGACTTTGATAAAAAGCTATGCTTATTTCAATAGTTGAGTTTTTTTTTTTAGATGGCATTTATCTCACAAATTATCCTGCTTGCTTTCTTCCAGTTCTGGGATTACCGCCAGCCTCGGAAATACCTCAATATTCTCCCTTGCCAGGTGCCTGTCTGGAAGGCCAGATACACTGTAAGACACCCTACCTCTTGCTGAGAAACTTCTTCTTGGTGTTTCAGACAAACAGGGCCAAGGATCATTTTCTCTTGTTTTCTTTGTGAGGCAGTTTTCTCTTTCTGTCTTGTTTAGGGGTGGGGTGAAAGTGGTAATAATGGCATAAGGCTATTATCTATTTAGAAATTTGCCTTTGGAATCCTGAGTAAGGGTCTGTACTAGACTTGCTAAGCATGGCTGGACTGGGAAGCTAGGCCGTCTGAAGGTGGTCACTAACGGCAGGGGAGGAGAGCGAGATGGAGGCAGAGGGTTGAGAGCCTGTGGTCAGGGGATTGTGATGGGAAGAACTCCACCTGTAGATTCAGAAGACCTGGGTTTGGGGCCCAGAAATGCCATTCAATTTATCACTCCAGCTTTATTGAGATATAGTTGACATGTAATATTGTGAAAGTTCAAAGTGTCTGCTGTGTTGATTTGATGCATTTTTATATTGCAGAACGAGTACCACCATGGCATTAGCAAACACCTCCATCACATGACTCAATTATCAGTTCTTTTTTTGTAATGAGAACATTTAAGATCTACTCTCTTAGCAAGCTTCAAGTATACAATATTATGCAGTATTATTAATGAGAGTCACCATGCTGTACCTTAGATCCCCAGAGCTTATTCATTGTATAGCTAGAATTTTGAACTCTTTGACCAGCATCTCCCCATTTCCCCCACCCCTCAGCCCTTCATAACCACCGCTCTACTCTGTTTCTATGAATGCAGCTTCTTTAGACTCCACCTATAAATGATGTCATACAGTATTTATCTTTCTCTGACTTACTTCACTTAGCATAATGCTCTCAATGTCCATCTATGTTGTAGCATATGGCAGGATTTCCTTCTCACGGCTGAGTAATATTCCATTATAGATATATACCCCACATCTGCTTTATTCATTCATCCCCTGATGGACACTTCGGTTGTTCCCGTATCTTAGTTGTTGTGACTCATGCTGCAATGAGTCATTTAATATTTGTGTGGCCTTTGGCAAGCCATTTCGTGTTTTTGAGCAAGTTTCCTCCTCTGTAAAAATGAATGATAATTTTTACCATGCCTACCCTTTATTTATTGTGATAAAATTCATCATTTTAAAGTGTGCAATTCAGTGGCATTAGCATGTGCACAAATATGCCTTCCTTTTGAAAAGTTGTATATGAAAATGCTTTATAAGCCATAAAATGCTACAAATAGAGGGGGTAGATTATTATCAACCTCCAACAATTTTTCCATTGCAACATTGATAGCTACAGATTGAAGATAATATATTTCCTTCTGTGTCAATTTGAAAGGGAGCACAGAATGAATAAAGCTACCTTCATACATTAGGCTGTCCCCTGGAGGCATGATGGAACACAGAAGATGATTCAGATGTTTAGTGGCTCTTGCATTTGGGAACACTTGTCAAGAAATCATTGTTCTTATGAATTGAAATATTTCTCTGGATTAAAGTTTGCTCTAAAAAATAAACGGAGATGTCCAGGAGTGCTGCCAGGAGGGAAGGTGAAGATAACATGCTCTTTGGTGACTGTGGTATATTCCTTAAAGAACAGAGGCTGATTATTAACCTCTCAGTTGTCAAGTTGGTTGCTGCTAAGTAAAACACGTCAGCTCTGAAATTGGGAGGTTTTCCTCTGAGTAGCTGTAGTACTTGGGGCAATGGGAAGGTGATGCTTCATGCGGACCATGTGCTTCCGGTCCTGCCCGCGTTACAGGAGCTATGGTGCTGCACCAGGGTTTGCCAGTGTGCCTGGCATGCTCACGCTTATTCCAGGAAAGCATATGATGACTCTCGGAGGGAACCCGTTTAGAGTAGCTTGGATGGCAAACAGTATGTTTCAGTGTGTGACAGAGCCACTCACTCATTTTAGAATTTAACAAGTTCTTCTCTGAGCATGTAGCTTAGCTTTATCTTTTTTACTTGCTGTGGTCCCTTCCATATGCAGAGAAAAAGTAATATGAATACAGAAGGAGAGTAGATGGTCAACTTGTGGTATTGGGGAAAATTTCCCCCAGATGGGTTGGGACCTTCAGTCATCTGATTTGTTTCTTTAGGAAAGAAGTCCATCTTCAGTAACTCAGCACTCAGCTGATTCTCCCTGGAATAATCAGTTGCTTTTCCCTTTCTTACCATAGCCTTTCAGCAATGGCTTAGTGACAGTAATGGTTCCCCAGCTGCGGAGGGAAAATAGCCTTCTCCTGTGGAATGTCTTTGACTTGAACACCCCAGTCCACACGTTTGTGGGGCATGACGACGTGGTGTTGGAGTTCCAGTGGAGGAAACAGAAGGAAGGTGAGCAGGAGAGAGGGCCGCGGAGATGGGTTCCGAGTCCTGCCCTGCCCGGTTGGGGCTGACCGTGGTCCTGAGGAGGTGCAGCTGCAGGGAGGGCTCAGGAAGGAGAGAGCCTGGGGGTCCGCCACTTTGAAGTGTGGACAGCTAAGGGAGCTGCCACTAAAGGTGTTTCTTCTCCCAGGGTCCCTCCTGCTGTCATGTTCAGCGTGGTCTCTTTCCTGCATGGAGGAGATCAGAAGAGATTAATAGACTTGCTGTTGGGTCGCTTCTGGGGCCGAGAAACTCTGGGTTTGCAACCTCAGAAGTCCCCAGCATTTGACCCTTGCCACTCCATCAGTGAGGGAGACCCAAGGTCATCATTAGTACTGCCATCACATTCCTGTTCTCTCCACAAACATGCAGTGGTATATCACCTCCTATCCCCTGGGAGATAGGTGACTTGCTTTGATCTTGAAACATGAATGGAAGTGATACGGGCACTTCTGAGGTGAAGTATTATCAGCCAATGTACAGTTGCACACTCTATTTGCATCTGCTACGGAAATAGCAAAATCCCAGATGGAGCTGCCCCTGTCAGGAGGGAAGATGAGGTGGAGGTATAGTGTGAGCAAGAAATCCTTGCTTCACGCCACTGAGATTTTGGGATTGTTTGTTATTACGGCTTAATCAGCCTCATAAGTAGAATGGGAGTCAGGAAGTCCTTGGCTTGTTTTTCTACCAACTCACCATGCAAATTTAGTTGTAGCCTCTCTTTTCTTGAGATCTCACTGTTACGGTCTCTAAAGGTTTTACAGAACAGAAGTATAGTTCTTAGTCTTTCCATGTTACAGAAGTAAGGAGTGGTGTGACTTGTCTGGAGTCCCAGGAAAGGTCTCTGGTACGGCACATATCTTGTCCTGGCTTGTTTGTGACCCTTGCAAGCCTCTTCCAGAATAATTTCTGAAGTGACTCTTGCATTTTGCCGTAGTAAATAGACGAGGTACTTTCCCCATGGTCTGGCCAGGAGACTTTGGCCTGTAGTTTTGGATTGAAATAAAAAGTGTTGAGCAACCCACTTAGTTATCAGTGTCACCTGTAAGCGGGCAGGGTGAATTGTGTAAATAGGGACTGTCTGTCTGGTCAGTAGTGAGATTTTGAGCACAAGTTATAGGTGTTTTAAAAATTCCTTTTTATTGTGAAATATATCATTTATCTGGAAAATTGCATGAAACATGTTTAGTTTGACAAATTATTATAAAGTAAAAGTTTGTGTAACTGCCACCAAGGTTAACTTCCACTAAGAAAGACAACATTGCTGGAACCCAGAAGCTTCCAGATCATAATTCCCTCCCTTTCCCAGACGTGAACACTATCCTGATGCTTATGATAATGATTTATGCTTTTATTTTTACAGTTTTACCACCCATTCCTGCATCCTGCATGTAGTCTTGTATTTCACTTCTTCAACAACCTAATGTCACTTCATTTTCTTTCTGTTGTTCCATTATTTTGGGGGGATCACCTCAAGCTTTGGTCTTGGTTTTCGCTGTGGCGCAGGACCTGTCAGAGAGGCAGGAAGAGAGTCAGATGCGGCGGCTCAGGGAGAGGACGTTTCTGGAGAGAAGTGGCAGTCATTGGTCTCACATGCTGCTGAAGGATCAAGGTGCCCAGGGAGAGAAAGGCCCTTCACTGTTCAAATAGGAAGCTGTATGCCCGTAAGACAGGCGTTCTGGAGCAGACCGAGGCTAGATGCCTGGCCGAAAGGTAGCGTGAGCAGAGGCAGCCGGCACTGGTTTGGTGGATGAAGTTGCCATCAAAGGCAAGGAGGCGTCTAGGCTGACTGGCAGAGGCTGCTGCAGCCTCTATTTGAAGGCAGGTTAAAGTGCAAGATAGGGAGTGTGGGGGAAAGAGGGCTGCTGGAAATGAGAGGGGACGGGCCGAGGTGACAGGTGGAGAAGGTGGGTTTGGAAAGGAATCAGGCATGACTTTTCTCCAAAGTCAGGGACATGAAAAGAGGCCACATGTGGAGTCAGAAAACTGTTGATGTGACCATGTGTCTAGATGGTGGAACTCATAACAGGCAATAGTTCTGGATAGTTGCTTGTTGGGCCCACCCAGGGAGATAGTAAAACTGAGGACCAAGGGCCTGATTGAAGGAGGTGACACAGAGAAGGGGCCTCTGCCCCTCACTATAAGCTTGGCCAGATCATGTTCTCTGTTTTGCCTCAGTTTTTCCCATCTGTAAAATAAGGGAATTGGATGAAATTATCTCTAAATTCTTTGCTCTTTGAAGATGGCCATTAAGGAGATTTTAGATGCTACGTAATTACCCTGAAATGTCCTGATCTTTCACAGAGCTTTTCCATAAGGTGTCCTGAATCTTTGTAGAATAATTTTCTTTGACCAGACCTAATATGTGAAAATGTAAGTCAGTCAGTTAAGAACATTAAAGATTGATTATTCATTTTATATATAAAGAGGTGTATCTCCTTACCAAAAATTCTTTTAAATAGTAAGATGACATGAAACATACAAAATAATTCATTTTACAAAAGCCATATTCATTCCCAGCTCTCAGGAAGCATATAAGATGAAGAATATTTGTGGAGGTGAAAGCTGAATGCGACATTAAATCCCAGTATCACTCTTCACCTCCTGATTTGCCAGTTATTACTTCCTTCATTTAAGTTTCTGCTCAGATGTGACTCACTCAGGGACTCCTGTCTAAAAATAGCTCCCCTGTCAGTCTGTGTCCTCTTATCCTGTTATTTTTTTATAACACTTTCACTACCAAATATTTTATTATATATTCATTTGTTTGTTTCCACCATTGAAAGGTGAGATCTGTGAAGACAGACTGTGGTATTCATGCTATAGTCCCAGTGCCTAGAACAGTGCCTGACCTATAGGTGATGTTCAAGAAATACAATCAATGAATGAATGAATCTATCTTACTCCATTGCAGCCTGTAGCAAAATTAATGTTGAATCCAGAAAAATTCCCAGGATTCTTATTTGGTGATTTCTAGGGTCCAAGGACTACCAACTGGTTACGTGGTCACGGGATCAGACCTTGAGAATGTGGCGGGTGGATTCCCAGATGCAGAGGGTATGTAATTCAATGTTGTCATAGAGGAATATAACTGGATATACTAGAAACTTTTAAAATAATTACAATATTTGGTATTTGTGAAAGTTAGAGGATAGATGATGGACATTAAATACATATTTGCTGGTTGGCCCACTGGCTTGTGTATGTCACATTGAGGCTTTGGGGTCTTCAAGAGACAACTTTAATATTCAACACTTTGAGGCTGAAAAGCCTCAATGTCTTTTCTTCTTGTCCTGGTCTCAGCAGGTGTCGGTTGCACACTGAGTGATGGCCTGTGGGCTTCATTTCTTTCTCTTCTTGTAAATGGCTAGGAAGTCTACCTTTGCACTCGACAGTGCTCAGAACTCCTTACATCCATCAACGACACCTGTTCTATGAGGCCCTTTTGTATGATACTTTTGCCCTATGTATGATACTGTTTCTTATGTGAACCACAGTGGCGCCTGGTGTGAACTGATTTTTGGCCCTTGCTTTGCACTGCCTCACCATTTGGTGGCCAAATTCCTTGCAGGCAGGTCAATGTCTCACTGTATAACCTCCCGCATAGCAGTCTGTATAGTATAGAAAATGCTGGGTGAAATTTGCAACACCGCTTAGTACGAAGTCACTCGAGCATTTTGGTGAAATATCATCACCTCATTGCCTTTCAAATCTATTTTCTCCAAAAAATACCATTTGTTCCAAATTATTTTGAACGTTATAGTATTTTTGGTCATGGGTTAGCTGAATAATTCTATTAAGGCTTGGCATTTAAAATGTTTTCTGAGGCTTGCATAAACTGTGAACATGATGACAAATTTCCAGGGTGGAATGATGGAGTTATTCTCCTGTGTATTTAACAGGGAGAGTTGGTGGTGGATAAACCCTATTTTAATTGTCTCCAATTTTGGCGGACATCTCTATCGTCTGTGATTATACCATTTTAAAGTCAGACCTCTAACCAGACAACGATGATCATCTCCGTTGACTTCTCTCCACCTAGATCTTCCACCTTTTGTTGCAGCTTTGTGCAAATGACATATTAGATGGGGTTGACGAGTTCATCGAGAGCATTTCTCTTCTGCCCGAGCCAGAGAAGCCTCTTCACACTCAAGATGTAGATCCCCAGCACAACTCCAGCCATGGCGAGGAAGAAGGTAATAGGCCAAACTGACACGTTAGGTGAGGTGCCCCTCTGTACATTTCAGAGTGCAGCAGATACCCCAAAACTGCTCTCTGACTCATTTTCCAAAACGATATCCAACAACTGAACTTCTGTCTCCGGCTAGTCTTAAAGGAAGACCCCCCAAGCAGTGTCCTTGAAGAGAAGAAGGCAGATCAACTGGGACTGCCTCAGACTTTGCAGCAGGAGTTTTCCCTGATCAACGTGCAGATCCGGAACGTCAACGTGGAGGTACTCAGGAGTTTGAGGTGCTGCCTCTCATGCTCATACATGGCAGTTTGTGAGCAAGGGGACTGTTTCAGCTGTGATTGTGCCTAGCAAATAGCTTTGCTGCTCTAACAGCTAAGTCTCTCTGCTTGCTTTATTTCTGAGGTTTTCTAAAGAAATGGATATTTTATAAATGTTTTATAAAATAGATATTTTGCTTTTATAAAATGAAACGAATTTTATAATTTTTTTTTCTTACCATGTTATTTTCTTGAAAGATGAGCCAAGGGATAAACTGATGCTCATATGTCTTAAAATCGCCTTAGATGCTCCAACAACCTCATTTTACCATGTGTAAAGATACTTAAATCCAGGAAGACTTAACGATTTGGCAAAGGTTATAGCGATGTTAATGGCAGAGCTGAGTTTGGAAGCCAGCCCTCCTGACATTCCAAGGCTCTCTGTGCTGTGCTGTACTGGCTTCCTGTAAAGCTGGTAATTTCCTTGGTGACTTAGATTCATAGTAAGAAAGTGACCGAGCCTCTGTTCATGTAACACATGAGAGCTTTACTCTTTTCCTTTGGGGCAGATATTGAAATTGTTTGCTTCAGAAAACTGAATTTCTCTCTGAAAGTTTTAAAACTTGATTAGGTGTTCTTTTGCCCAGATTCAGTTAACAGCAGGCATGGGTATGTGCGCTTGCGTAATGATCTCATTTGGCTGTTAGACATCTCTGCAGTAAGTGCTTTTATCCCCACTTTACAGATGAGGAAACAGACGCTAAGCGATGAGTGCTTTGTCCAAGGTCAGCAGTTTGGTGGGAGAAATGATACTTGAATGCAAGCCTCCAGATTGCTCACGTATGGCCCTCTTCACTGTGCTCCAGCAGCCTTCTGTAGTTGGAGCACAAGAACTCAAAAGAGATAAAGGATGCTTTGATTAGTTGGTTATTTATATCAATTCAGTTTACCCTCCCTTTGCTCCAGTTTTGCACATTGTGGGTACCCAGTGATCCAGCTTAAGAAGAAGATCTTGATTCTGTTCCCAGGGGTGTTTTGTTGAGATATAATTCATATACTATAAGATTCACCCTTGTTAATGTGTACAATTTAGTGGTTTTTAACGTATTCACAGAGTTGTGCCACTATCACCGCTATCTCATTCCAGAGCATTTTCATCATCCCAAAAAGAAACTCTATCCCCATTAGCAGTTACTCCCCATTTCCCTCCCTCCCCAGCCCCTGGCAACTGCTAATCTACTTTCTGTCTCTATGGATTCTCTCAAGAGTAGTTTTTAACTTGAGTCAGGTATTTAACTTTTTTCTAGCTTTATATTCTCATCTCAAAATAAATACAAGTTTCAGCCTACCTCACAGCTTTAGGATGAGGCTTTTGGAAGTCAAAATATTTTGAACTTACTAAACTCATGCTAAGATTAAAACGTGGAGCATTTGGTTAGCTTAAATCCCTTTCCATCTAGAGACCCTGTGTGGCTCATCTCCAACGCAGTTGTCAATTTGTCCCTTGCAGATGGATGCAGCAGATAGAAGCTGCACGGTGTCTGTGCACTGTAGCAGCCATCGCGTCAAGATGCTGGTGAAGTTCCCTGCGCAGTACCCAAACAACGCCGCCCCTTCCTTCCAGTTTATTAATCCTACAACCATCACATCCACAATGAAAGCTAAACTGCTAAAGGTGGGTATCTGTGTTCACAAATTCTCCTTGATGTTGTAAGAGGAAACCTCTGCTCATGTGTATCAGTGTCTAAGTTGTGTAGTAAAGTTTAATGAAAACTCCAATAAATTTGGAAGTCATCTGTTCCCTACGCACTGCCACGTTAACAGTCGCTCTCCATTTTGCGTTGAAAACATTAGAGCAGTGGTTCCTAACTTTCTGATCACGGACTTCCTTTGAAAGTCTAATACTTTAACTATGATCCTTTCCCAGACAACTTTGTACAAATGTTGCATCTAATTTCAGAAATATGCATGTAAATAAAATGCAGTTCTAGAATGGGATGTAATCTGCTCATAGATCTTGTTAAAGCTATGCATTAATTCCAGGTTAATGGAAAACCATGCAGTACAATTCCATTTATCTGGAAATGATAGGCAGGATGTATTCTGAAGCTAAACGATACTTTGTCGCCAGGGAAAAAGTATGTAGTCTTTTTAAAAAATCCATTCTGTGAAAGGAGATGGTGTCCTCCTGGAGTGAGGCTAGCTGGCTGTGCAGTGGGATGTGAGAAAGGATGGCAGAGCCTGCACAGAGCTGGTGCAGCCTGGCATCCTCCTGGCATCTGTTCTGTACTTCTACGGGGTCAGAAACTTGATTTGCCAGTTCACGCAGGCCAGTCAGGCAGAATCCTACGAGAAACTCCACGGGCTGGTGATGACATGCCTTTTTCTGCGTGAGCAGGTCACATGTAAAGGAACTGAACTATCCTGACAAAACCAAGCCGACTGGAGTGCCGCTCACCTCTTACTGAGTGTCTATCACACACACTTGGTCCGTCCTCTTGGACTGTGATATGTAACCAAGAAATTTTTAAGTGGTGTAGGGATCTTTGAATTCTAACGTTTCCGATTTTTGTGGTATTTGACATTTTGTGCTTGTAATTTGAACATTTCATTGTCTCATTTAGAACATATATAAAAGATTTTTTTCCTATTGATATAAAAGTGATAGGATTAGGAATTGTCTTTAAAGGTCTAATTCATTGCTATTCAATACAAATATGATGCAGGTCACGTGTAATTTTAAATTTCTTAGCCACACTAAGAAAAATTGGAAGTAGCTAGTAAATTAATTTCAGTCGTATTTTTATTTAATCCAGTATGTTTAAAGTATTGCCAACATGTAATCAATATAAAAATTACTGAGATAGTTTAATTCTTTTCTTTTTATACTAAGTTTTCAACATTTTTTGAATTTTAAACTTAGAATACATCTCAGTTCAACTGAGCCACACTTCACGTGCTCGGTAGCCCCATATGGGTGATGACAGTGCAGGTCCCATGTACGTGCCCATCTAAAGTATGTGTGTGTCACTTTATATCTACAGCATGTGCATTAACATGTTAGGATTTGTATTTTTAAAGAACCAAAAAAAGATACATTATAATTTTCACTTAAGTGAAATCTGCTCCCTGGCTTGTACTAGAGCAATTTACAGTCCATCCTGGAGAGTATTACTTCTAAAGTTCTGAGATTTCTCGCGGATGGGGATAGAGTAGGGGGAGAGCAGAGGAGTGGGATTCACTATAAAGAAATCCGCCCTCTCAGAACCTGTGTGCCTACCCTGGCTGAGGAAAGGCCTTCTCCAAGAGGGCCCAGAAATGAATCGTTGAACCTCTGGAGAAGGTGGCCAGTAAGATGTGTTGGAAGCTCAGACACAGCCTCCCAGCATCTTCACTGCTTCCAGCTGCTTTGAAAACTAAAAGCAAGTTGGGACAAGAAGTGTTGATATTCATGACTGTTTTGTGCCTCTTCTAGATCCTGAAAGACACTTCCCTGCAAAAAGTGAAACGCAACCAGAGTTGTCTGGAGCCCTGCCTGCGCCAGCTCGTCTCCTGCCTTGAGTCTTTTGTGGTGCGATTCTTGTTCCAACCTATGCTTTTTTATGTTCTGTTCAGTGTCTTCCTCCCTGAACTCCTGGACTCCCTGATATATATATTACAGAATAATTAATTGTGTCCTTACTTTGTAATTCAGCTTTCAGACAGGGTGTGGTTTTTAGTCTATTATTTTTTAAATTTCAGAACCAAGAAGACAGCGCTTCTAGCAACCCCTTTGCTCTCCCAAACTCTGTCACACCACCCTTACCAACATTTGCCCGGGTGACCACTGCCTATGGGTCATACCAGGATGCCAACATTCCCTTTCCTAGGACCTCGGGGGCCAGGTTCTGTGGAGCAGGTTGGTCTCTTTTCAGTTCTGTGATTCTAGATTTTGAGATAGAGCAGCTAAGAATGTCATATAGTCTACATAGAAATCTCCATCAGAAGATTTTTCTGTTTTTATTTCCTGAGAACTCAGAAGACCTCTGTAGTAGTGTTACATGGTCTGATGCTGAATTATCATCTGTGGACATATCCTCAGAATGTCCACCTGAATTACAGCCTTAATTATTTCCATTCTGAGGAGCGTGAATTTGAGTCATACGCAGCCTTGATTCTCAGCATGGGACAGGTCCCCTAGCAGGAAAATATGAAGTATCCATGAAGACTCTCTAAACATACAGCCTATCTCTTCTGGAGCCTAGAGATTCTGACCTTTGTCCTCGTCGGGTATGACTGCAGTTAGGTTTAACCAGGGCCAGTTTAAACCAGGATTTCCTGTGTCCAGCTCACTGACTGCGGTGTGCACATTCGTGTCTCCTTTGTCAGGGTATCTGGTGTATTTCACGAGACCTATGACGATGCATCGAGCAGTGTCTCCAACAGAACCTACTCCGAGGTGAGTCTGGGACATGCAGACATAACTGCATTCATGGGGTCAGAGGTGGGGAGACATCTGGGGGTGACCACTGAATTTGTCTTTGGACAGTTTGTTTCAGTTCTGCAGTAAACACCCATTGAAAGATTTATTCAAGGTAGATCAGGTTCATCCCATTGCCAAATATGCTGAGATTTCAACTGCTAGGTTACTCCCAAACCACTAGGAGTAGCTTGATAAAAGCTGTTGTCAAAACAAGGCAAATTCTTTTTTCATGTGCTTTTCCCCTGTTGCTAAAGGATTGTTTGAATATTCAATAAAAATACAAAAATAATAAAAAAGACCATCTCCAGTCCCACAACGCTAATATGCCTCTTCCAATATTACCAAAACATGTTTAAGTAGGATGTTGGAAAAACTCAAAACAATACAGAAATTTTACAGTGTGAAAACTCTTCTTTTTCTTCTTCAGCCCCTGCTAACAATTTAACATGTTTCCTGTCTAGCCTCCACTGTTTGTGTGTGGGGTTTTCTTTTGTTTTGTTTTGTTTTTAAGAGGCAGTCTAGCATAGCAAATGGGATTGTGGGCTTCAGAGACAAACTGCTGGGTCTGAGTTTTGACCCTGCTGTTCTGTGACCTCAGGTAAGTTATCCTCAGCGATAACTTGGGGATGATAACAGCACCTTTAGCTGCTGCTGTGAGCATTAAATGAATTTGTCCCTCTGAAGCCTTTAGAACACCACCTGGCACATTGAGGGTGCTCTCTGTTTCCTGTTATTACTACTGTTGTGGTTTTTTTGTTGTTGTTAACACCTTTATTGAGATATAATTCTATAATATACAGTTGACCCCCTTAAAGTATGTAATTCAGTGGCTTTCGGTATATGTATATTCACAGCTATGTGTAGCCATCACTAAAGTAAATTCTGGAACATTTTCATTACCTCTGAAGGAAATGCATCTCCTAGTTGTCACCACCCCTCAGTCCCCCATCCCTTTAACCTAGAGCAAACATTAATCTACTTTTTGTCTGTAAATGTGCCTATTTTTAACATTTCGTGTAAATGGAATCATGTCGTGTGTGGTCCTTTGTGACTGGCTTCTTTTAATACAGTTTATTTATTACAGTTTAATATTCAAACTGCTTATTACAGTTGACCCTTGAACAACACGGGTTTGAACTATGCAGGTCCACTTATTTGTGAATTTTTTTCAACAAATACATTGGAAAATTTTTTGAAGATTTGTGACAATTTGGAAAAACTCTTTCCTCTAGCTTACCTTATCGTAGGAATATAGTGTGTCATACATATAACATAGAAAATATGTGTTAATCAACTGTGTCATTGGTAAGGCTTCCAGTCAGCAGTAGGCTATTAGCAGTCATATTTTGGGGGAGTCAAAAGTCATACATTGATTTTTGACTGTGCAGGGGGTTAGTTCCCCTAACCCCATGTTGTTCACGGGTCAGCTGTATAATGTTCTCAAGGACCATACATGTCATAGCATATATCCGTACTTCGTTTCTATTAATTGCCAAAGAATATTCTGTCATATGTATATACCACATTTTATTTATTCATCCATCAGTCGATGGACATCTGGGTTATTTCCACTTTTTGGCTGTGGTGAATAATGCTGCTGTGAGCATACATATACACGTTTTTATGTGGACATATATTTTCATTTTTTCTTGAGTATTTACATAGGAATGGAATTGCTGGATCATACTGCAAAATGTTCTTTTCTGAATCAATAAACTTTATCTTTTAGAACAGTTTTAGATTCATAGCCTATTCAAGTGGAAAGTAACTGGGTTCCCATATACCCCTACTCTTGCCCCCACAACATGCACTGTCTGCCCCATACTACTGGTTATTATAAACTTAAATATTATTAAGTCTTGTATACCATAGATTTCTGGTTCTGCTGACCAAGATAACTTAGAAACCCTCTGCTATAAACACCTGGATATATTGGATATAGTATAATTCACATACTTATGAATGAGTAGCTGAGCTACCAAGAAAGAAAGGAGATTGACCCAAGTGCATGAGCAGGCGCTCCTGCTGTCCTGGGAGTTTACCAGGCTCTGCAGTACCAAGCAGATGAGACCTTGGCCCATAAGAACTGGGGAGTAAAGTGCCAGAGACCCCCCTCATTACACCTGGTTCCTTACTTTGAAAGGTTGGTCTAGAAAGCAGACACCTAAGTTGAAAACCTATTAGAACACTTTTGATGTTAACTATTTTATTGAGCTATAATCTACATATACAAATGTGAAGTGTATATATTCATGACCAGGACCAAGACCAGATACAGAGCATTGCTGTCACCCTCAAAAGTTCCCTGGTCTAGTGGAAACTACCCTTCTGACTTCCATCATTGCATTTAAGTTTATCTGTGTTTGTACTGTTTTATGTCTGGTTTATTTTGCCCAACTTAATGTTTTTGAAATTGATCCACTTTGTTATACGTATCAATAGTTCCATTGTATGAAAGCAATATAATTTGTTTTTTCATTCTCCTGTTGATGGACATTTGGGTTATTTCCAGTTTTGGACTATTATGAGTAGACCTACATGTGCAAGTCTTTTTCTAGACATGTGTATTAATTTCTCTACCCAAGGATTAGAACCCCTGTGTCATAGGATTAGGTGCATTTTATTGGAATTGCCAAAAAAGCCTGTCCCCAGTAGTTCTACCATTTTCCAGTCTTAACAGCGGTTTTCTGAGTTTTGGTTGCGCCACCCCCTCTTCAAAACTCGATATTTTCAGTCTTTTCAACATTAGCTAAGTGGTGGGTTGTAGCATCCTCTCACTTGTGACTGACGATGTTGAGCAACTTCTGTGTGCTCACTGACCATTCCAGTCTCTTCTTCTGTGCTGTGTCTCTTCAAGTACTTTGCCATTTTTTTCCTACTGTGTTTCTTATTTATTTGTGGTAGTTCTTAATCTATTCTGGTTGCAAATTCTTTGTTAGACATAACCACAGATCATAGATCTGTGGGTTGTCTTTATCCCTCCTTAATGATTTTTGATAAACAGCAGTTTTTAATTTGAATGAAGTCCAGTCTGTCGCTTTAGAAATGTTATGGTTAGTGTTTTTGTGTCCTTTCTAAAAAAGTCTTTGCCTGCCCCAAGGTCATGAAAATATTCTTTTGTGTTTTCTTTTAAAAGTTTATAGTTTTAAATTCCTTAAATTCTGTAATCAATCTTAAATTAATTCTCGTGTATGAAGTGGAGATCAATGTTTATTATTTTCAGTGGTAATACATAGTTCTAGCACCACTTATGGAAAAAATTTGGCTTTTGTCATTGAATTTGTTTTGATACCTTTGTTGCAAATCAATTAACTGTATGTTTGTGGGTCTATTTCTGTACTCTGTTATTTTCCCTTGATCTTCTTATGCCAACACTAGACTCTTAATGTAGTTTTATGTAGTAAGACTTCAAATTTGGTAGTGTAAGTCTCCCAATTTGTGTTGGCTATTGTAGGTCTTTTGCATTTCTGTAAAAATATGGAATCAACTTATTAGTTTCTACAAAATAAGCCTGCTCATATTTTGATCGTAATTGTGTTGACTCTATAGATCAATGTGTAGAAAATTGACATCTTGACAATAGTATGGAATCTTCCAATCCACTCACATGGTATTTCTCTGTTGTTTTGGGTTGTCTTTAATTTCTTTCAGCAATATTTTGTATTTGCAATGTAATTTTTTCATTCTTTCTAGGGATTTGATGTGTTTTGGTGCTACTGTATATAAAAATTTTTTGAAAATTTCTTTCCAAATGTTTGTTTCTAATATATAGACGTACAATAAGGTTTGTAGATTGACCTTGAATCTAACTTCACTTATTCTGGTAGTTTGTGGAGTCCTTTGAATTTTCCACATATACCATTATAGAAGTATTCTTTGCTTTTGCAGATAAAGCATATTTCAATTTTAAAAGTTCTATTTGATTTTTTTTTGAGTTCCCATTTTTTCTCCATTTTATGTCTTTTCCTCTTGGTTTCATCAAGTGCTAAGAACAGTAGTACTTAGAAATATAGAAAGACGAAAGCCAGTATGGGTAATTCTGCATTTTCAACCATAGATCTCTCTCGGCCTTGTCAGCTTATCATACTGGCTTGATTGCACCAATGAAGATCCGCACAGAGGCCCCTGGGAACCTTCGTTTGTACAGCGGGAGCCCCACTCGCAGTGAGAAAGAGCAGGTGTCCATCAGCTCCTTCTACTACAAGGAGCGGGTAAGCGGCAGAGTCACAGCCTTTGATTCTTACCCCTTTTCCGGATTCTTGTTCTTGTCTCCTGTCTGCCACACACAGGAGCTCAATCAGTACTCCCCCTAGTCTTCAGCTTTCATTATTAGTTTGCTCAAAAAAAACCTTTGCTTGTTCCTTTCAGTTGGTTTGAACTGCTGTGAACTGTGTGTGGAGGGGAGGGCTAGTTTCTGGAATCCTGGTTCCCCCTGCCTCATTTGACGCTGTCCTTGCTCTCCCCATTCATTAAGTTGATTCCCTTTCCCTTTAGAATAATTTAGCCTCGGGTCATCCTTGGTATTGATGGTGTCAACAAGTTAAGGGATGTTTCTGAAGACTTGGGATCTTGATATATTTGGAATTTTATAGTTTTTAAAAATTTTAAGGGTGATCTTTAAGAAATTTTATACTTTTACTAAGTCTAAACTGAAGTACCCATTTGAATAGACGCATTTATACAAAAACCACCTAAACCTGTCCTTATGTTTGTGGGTTCTTAAAGAACTCATTGTCCCTAACATAGCATTGAGCTGTCAGGAGCCTTTATGACAACAGTAGACAATATTGGCAGAGCGGAGGAATGATTCTAAGGACTCCTTCTGTGTTGTTGAGAGAGTCTGGTTTAAACCGGTTTTTAACTGACATATTTCAAACAGTTATCACTGGAGCTACCTACAGATTCAGTCCTTAGGTATTCTTTTGTTGTCCCCCACCCATTGAGAAATGATGGATTGACTATAATTAAAATTTTTTGTAAAAAATTTGGATTACTGACAAATATTAGAGGCATCTTCACTTCGATTGCAATGTAATATCTAACTGGCTCACACTGATAGTTGGCCATCTCTGATTGTCTGTTGTCTAGTCTTAGGGTTGTATGTGACTGAAATGAGTGACAGGCAGGATCTGTCTTGAGCAACACTATTCAGTTGAATAGGAAAAATTATTTTTGTCGTGTTGTTCTTCAGGCCAACTTTTTATGTCTTCACATCTCTGATGGAATTCTGCCTGCCCTGGATGTTACCCATATCCTCCCAAGTCCTTTACATTCAAAATTTTTAGTGTCCCCATGCCCTGCTTTCTGTAAGCTAGCAGGCAACTGGATAGATAATTTGATAAACAGTTGGAATTAAGGCATTTAATTGACATAATAGCTAAACCAACTCAAGAGTTGGGTAAATGTGGGAATTTTCTTTAGCAGGTTGAGGAGATCTTTTAATTGAAGGGCAATTCTGACTTCCTCTTTGAATCATGTCATGTGCCACTCATGCTTGGGTTTGGATCAGGCAGAAGAGATTGGCTGGCGCTTCTGACTCTGTGATAGTGCGTAAAGGCCAAGTCTAGTCAAAATTAACTCCAGTTCCAAGATGGAACCTCTCCTAATGCAAAAGCATTTCTGAAGCATTCATGTTTTTGGTGGTCTGACCTCTTCTGTAAACACCATAATCCTAAAGAAGGACCAGAGTTACATAGATTATTACTGTTATCAGACAGGACGTGCTTGGGCGTAGGGGAAGGATTGGGATATTTCCATTTGGGGTGACTCCCAGAAAGTGGGCTGTTGTGATCCCCTAGGATGACACAGTAAGTGGTCTTTATTTCAGATAGCGACCAAATAAAATGGGGAGAGACACTTTTATTATAATTTCATATGAAACGTTTGTATTGCTATATAACATGTACAGAAAAGTTCATGAATCATAAGCATGTAATTCAGTAAATTAACAATCTCACAGGCCAAGAAGTAAGATATTACAGGAACCGTAGAGGCCTTTGGGGAGGGAGGCACATTTTAATGGATAACATATAGTAATTAGGTTAAATCATGTGAAATTGCTGACATTTGACCATTTTCTACCTTAAACAAAGTTTCATGTGGTTCAACCTAATAAGTTAAAATGGTAAATCTGAAATAAATCTTCTCTCCTTACAGCTTGTTCATGTCCATCCCATTTATACAGGCAAAGTGAGGGGAATTACATGAAATTTGACCATGAGATCTTATACAGGCCATCTTCTCTTCCTCATGGAGGTTAATACATTTTTATGCCTTGAGGAAGTTTTTTTCTGATTCTCATGTATCTAGTTTCACATGTGTCACTTTTACTACTTCTGTTCTGGAAATGATTCCCGTTACTAAATTTCTGTGTGCTTAAGTCTTTATTTTCAGTCCCAGGTTTTCTCCTACATATTTTTGTTCTCTTTTAGATCTCTACCCCTGAGATCTTTAAATGAGCAAGAATAAAGGAAAAGAATATAACTGCATTAAAGTGTATCAGTGAAGGAATTACAGAATATTTTGGAGATTCCAAAAATCTTTATATAGAGCCATTGGGGATACTGTTCATTTCTCTTATTTTTGTGTGTTTTTAACCTACCCTGCTTAGGTCCTTCTGTTATATTCACTCACATGTGCTCCAGATGGAATTTCAAGATGCACTTCTGAAAGTTAAAAAAATGTTAGAGGCTTTAAAGAAACCACCAAGTGTCATAGGAAGTTAGAAAGCAGAGAGATGCTAACACTCATTTGTTAACTGGTCCACCTATTAATAGTCGATGAATTACTGTTCATTCCTATGATAAATCAGAAGACCCAGAGCTTGTGCCAAACAAGAGATATTGCCCTGCAACCATTTAAAAAATTTTGCAACCTCCCACATTTGCTTCAGTTTATGTTACTAAAATAGCTCTAATGTAAATAACTGGGAAGGGCTTGACATTCACAGAGTCATTTCTGATTCCCCTAAGCAGTGCTTCATGCCCCTGGTTTCACACCAGTGCCCTTGTTGTTAGCGAGCGCCCTTCAGCGCCACCCCCCCCCGTCCTGTCATTTCTCTCAGACTCTCTCTCTTGCTTCTCCATGCATCACTCTGAAACCAGTCCTGCAGTCCCCAGTGGCCCCCAGCCACACACCAAAAAGAATTTAATATTAAGTCTATTGAAGAATTTCTTCCTTTTTAGGAATGAGAATCTTCTTGTACGTAATGTATGCTCTCTAAGGGGTGAGTGGACTCTCCACCTGTTTTCTCCACATGCACTGTGATCTTAATCCTCCTCAGAGTACTGCAAACCCTGATGGTGGTTCCTTTGTCAGGGCTGTGTTGACGCCAGCTTCCTTGTGTCTTGAAGTGTGTTTCAGACTGAAGAACAATGACACTGAAGCTGGGTTTGGAGCGATGGGTAGGGAGGGAGGTGAGGGAATCCAATAAAGCTCTGCTAGGCTCAGATTTTTTTAGTCATTCCAATCTTGATTTTGCCAGTATAGTGTGGTACCTTTTAATCCATCAGATGTGTGGGAAGCTTTCATTTTATTCTATATTTTTCCCTTTTAATTTTCTTGGTGTTTTTCTTCCCTCCTCCTGGGTGTAACGTTTTCACGCACAGATGTCTCCTCGCTCTGCCCGGCGACGTTGGTCCATACAAGCAATTAACGACTTCCCGGTACTGTGCGCTGTGCAAATGCTCTCCTTGACTAATCCTGTCTCTGCCCAAAGGCCCAAGAATAAAATGCCACCTGCCTGGCTTTGAGGAACCTGAAATGACAGGCTGGCTGGTTGTCAGGACCAGCGCCATAAATTTCTCACTCTTGGGAGGCGGGCGCCAAGGACTGCCTCCTTGTTCGGTCACAGTTTCAAGTGGGTGAATACCAATGTCATTAAGGATTGTGAATAGACTTCTTTGAAAATGAAGCTAAATACTGGGTTTCTTGGAAGGAACCCTGACTGTAAGCCCTTCGCTCACCTGATTTCATTTGGAGTATTTGTGTAATTCCATAGAGCTTCCAAAAGCCTACCTTCGGCATGGGGGGAAGCAGAGGAAGATACAAGAGGCTTCCACTGTTTTCTGTCTGTTTTTACGGTCCTGGTCTAGGGCAGAGGGGGAAGTGCCCACCTGCTACATTGGCATGACACATAAGCTAATTTTTAAAACTTTGGGAATTTTCTGGGACAGATTTTTTCTATACTGTCATCATTTTGCACCGACAGCAGAACTTCTGCAATGGACATCCTCTCTTCCTTTCCTCCTGACTTGCTCCTACTGGCCGTCCCCTCTTCTGTCTTCCTCTCCCCCCTTCATGTTTCGGTAGCCCTAAGGTGGCCTCAGCTGTGCAAGGCAGCTTTGAGGCTTTTGTGTAAGTTTCATTCAGCAGAAAAAATGTTTAGGGGAATAGTCCCAGAGCCTTTTTGTATAAACACCAGTTGAAATCAGGAGCCCTGATTAGCAAGTACCACTGCGGCCAACAGCTTGCAGGTGGATCCGACAGCGTGGCCACCTTTCCCCAAAGATCCTGTCCCAGCCGACCTGACTGCTGAGTCTCCACTGATTTTCCAGAAGTCTCTGCTCCCGCTGCCACTTAAATAGGGACTCATTTTGACTCACTGCCCACTCTGCTGATTATGCGTTGTTGATGGGGTTGCTGCGAAGCAGTTGGTGGCTTATTCTTGGGCTGTTTTTACATTTAACCCATTTATTGGCATCGATGTTGCCTCCGATTGTAGCAGTAACACTGGTGGTACAGTCGCAAGCTGGCTGTTGGTTGTCATTCAGTGCTATTCGCCCCAGTGCCTCCCGTCCCCCTCCTCCCAGTCTTTCCTCCCTGTCGTCTTTCCTGTAATTCCATGAACACCTTCTTGGTATGTTCAGAGGAGCATCTGGTGCTCATCATGTGGTAATTTGTCTGTCTTGTCTGTCTCTCTTCTCTCAGCCCCTGCTCATGAACTCTGTGGGGAAGGGGCATTTTCTGTCGATGGGGCATTGAGAAGACCTCAGAGAGTGCAGTCCTTTGCCTCTCAGAGGTACCGATTTTCCTGCACAGCAAAGTGTCTGCATTTGAGCCTGTCAGAGTGGGACCAGAGCAATGCAGGAGGTTTAGGGGGCTTTTAGGCCAACGTGCCCTCCCCTCACCTGGAAGGATCAGCCGTACCTCAGCCTGGCGTGTCCTTGTTCTCTGCATGTTGTTACATGACAGTCACACAGACAAGTGAGACTCCAAAAATCGCCAGCAATATATTAGGGGAAAAAGGAGTATTGGGAGATGTGGGTGGAATATGAATCTTTTTGTTACCAAAGCACTGGAAATACCCTGAAAAACTGTTTTCGTAGCAGACAGCAAGAACTGAGGCCCCTGCATTCTGATTTGAGCTTTGAGCTTCAGCATGTCTGTATTTAGGCAGCCTTGTTTTATTTGAACCCTAGAAAAATTGGCCACCTGACAGGATTACTGAATGACCCCTGCAACCTGAAGAGGAGATATTTCATATTTAAAACCCACCAACCAATTTAAAAAAGTGTTTTATGACCTCTTAAAGATTTTTGAGAATGTATTACACGTATTGCTTGCTGTGTTAAATGAATGAATATAGTGCCGTCCCATAATTGCTTTTACAGTTGGATTCTTGGTGGCACTATGATTAGGGTCATCCTGTGTGGGAGAGCCTCCTATTATATGCTCGAAAGGCAGCTTAGTGAGGTTCTGTGGAACATCACCCATACATCTGTACAGACCAGAGAAGCATCAGAAGCCTGGTGTCCCAAGAGTTGGCAAGGAAGCCGCAGGAATACAGACTGATTTCCGCATGAAGGGTAATTGTAGAAAGTTGTCCAAGGCCACTGGTCTTCACATTTCCATCAAGTAGGTGTCGATGACTCCATGGGTTTGCTTCTTCCAGTCTCTGTAACCCAAGACTGTGGGTGGGGGAGGAGTCCTAACACATCTCCCTGGACTCAGTTTTCTTCTCTCTGAATATGCCTACTCCTGACACATGCAGAAAGGAGGTAAGAATGTGAGGTACTGGTTCCTGAGCCTGGCCTCAAGTACGACATCGTCGTCTGAGCCTGGTGTCTCTTGTGAAGCCACGGGGCCTCGGGCTGCTGCGTCTGACAACCGTCAGCACGCTGCCCTGGCTCAGCAGAACATGCTCCTACTTACAGAGAAGTGAAATTTGAAGTGAGTGATTGTAGGGATGGTGTGTTGGTTCGGCTTTACTAGACCTAAATGTTGCTCTTCTTATATGCCGAAATGGATCCAGTTAAACATTGGCCAGACTCTTCACATATGAACAGGTAGCTCAGGCAGGACTTAATTTTTTTCTTTTTTAATCTAAAATCATGTGCTTGAAAACAGGTTAACATGTATGGGCTTAGCAGCCTAATAGCCTGTGTCCAAACCTCAGCTTTTATGAGTGTGGCCTTGAGTAAGCCTCATGCCCTCATTCGTACAACAGAGGCAACCCCCCTCAGTCAGAGCTGTGACGAGCGCACCTCACTCAGAAGGGAGCCTGCATTGTAGGAGCAAACGTTAATAACAACAGACAAATCTTTAAAGCCCAAGTCCAACATCTGTACACTTGGCCTTGTGTCCAGGACAGCACTCGTGTCCCACACAGACTCCTTGGTAGCCATTTGTAGGTAAGGCTCTGGGGGAATAGGATAATTGCTCATGGTCTTCCATGTTTGTTACCCGGGTCCCTCTGCTCAAGTATTTTTGACATTCTAAAATGATTATTTTTAGAAATAATTCATGTCTGCTAGGAAAAACGTTTTTAATTGAGCTGGTCTATTTGCAGCTGAGCCAGTTGGCACGTGGACCTCAGATATTATGCTTTCAGTAGGTTAGCTTAAAAAGTCAGGGAATTGTGGTGGTTTCCAGTGTGGTCTGAAAGCTCGCAGACCCCACCCCTGGGATGGCCTCCATTTATTTTTCCACTGTTTGGTTAAATGGAGCCATAGCAGATTGCTCAATTAGCCAAGTGCTTCTCATTATCTCTGTAATAAGGAGCCAGTGTGACTGCCTCTACAGTGTTCTGGGACCTTTCCACCAACCTGGAGACCAAATGAGATGGATCATATCCCGTTATAGGTGCAATCTTTTTAACATAGAGATTTTCTTAAAATCCAGTACCCTAACTCTCATTTGGGATGACCAATTATGTGGGACCTGTGGCTGTGTCATTTCCTAGGATTTTTAAATTCCTGGAAACCTGGGTGAAAATCACCGGGAATTGGGTTTGTCCTAGTCAACCACACTGTTCCGTTCCTGTCCCTGTTGGGGGTATGTACCCCAAGTTACCCTACCTAGAACTGGTCACATCGTAAGTCCGTTGTGCCCGTGTGATGACACCTGTGCTGTGTGGGCAAACACTGCCTGGCTCCAGCCCATTCCAACAGTGTGTCTGCTCTTACAAGAACAGTCTCCCTATTTGCGCCCACATCAGGATATTCGTGGCCAAAAGGATAGTATTTCTGTGAGTATGCACATAATTAATTCTTCTTTAGAAACTAACCAGGGCTAGTAGAGAATTGAAGGACTGCCCCACAGTAATAGAAAACTTCCTCTTGTATTACAAAATAATGATATGTATGGATAAATAGTAAACAGTAAAATAGTAAATAGTAACTGAACTACTTAAGGCTAGTGAGTGAAGGTTCCAAATCGATAATGCAGCACATGTATTTGCAAATTACGATAATAGTTCAGCTACTTCAGCTAAGCTTCTTCATTTAGCTACCATAAATGAAGTCCCAGTGTCCTGGATTTAGTATGTTCTGTGACACTTATCCTATACGAAGTTCCAGGCATTGGGCAGCTGTGGTGATCAGACGGGACATCAGTGGTCACAAATGCCCCAGTAGAGACCATGACTAATTTATGGAAGAGTGATTATATAACAGTTGCTTGCAGAAAATAATTTGTGAGTAATCTAGGGATCTAATCTAAATTTCTGAGGGTTAATACACATCAGTAATTAAATTGCACATTGTCTGTTTGCACTCTGCCTGTTCATTGTGCCCTTACTATCCAGTGAGATTGGAACAGCAGAATTCAGCATGGGACACATGTTAGCAGTGAGCAAGGAGAGAGAGGCAGGAGACCGAAGGCACAGCTAATAAGAAAACTGTCCCTGGGGTCACACTGAGCCAGTGCAGGTGGTAGTAAGACCAGTACACCTTGGTTTTCTGATTCCAAGTTGTAGGCCTATCACTAACTCCTTTGTTAATAAATACATCACTTCCCTCCCGAGTTGAATTGTTTTGGTGGTCCCTTTTTGACTTAGCAATAAAATAAAAGAGAATATTGCTCCCTTGGCTGCTTGTCATTTTGAAGATGCTGGTGGGGCTACACTCCAATGAGAGGACAGCACTCATGTCCCACACACAGGCTCCTCTGTAACCATTTGTAGGTGAGGCTCTGGGGAGAAGGGATAATTGCTCATGATCTTCCATGTCCGTTACCTGGGTCCCTCTGCTTGAGTATTTTAGAAATAATGCACGTCTGCTAGGAAAAAACAGGGTAAATCTCCTGGAGCTGCCAGGTTTTTCTGCCTACCAGAAATTAAGGTTTGCAGAGCAGAGCCTACACTGCTGTGTTTGAATTAAATTTTCAACAAAGCCTATTGAAACCACCTGAGAAGAAAACAATTTTGATTCGTTTCCAGCAAGAACTTTGAACCTAGGGCTGACCCCAACCTTAAAAGTTGCTCTTCTCCCACATTTTTGTGGTCATTTACTAACTTATGTACCTATTGTTCTTTCTTTCTTTATTTTTTCAATTCTGGATTCAAGGTATCGATTTTTGAGCACCTGCAGAATGTACATAGTACTGCAGTAGGTGCTTATTTTCCCATTAGGATTTTGGACCAAGAGCTCAATGCCCTGTGTCATCCTTTTATTTCCTACAGATGCTGATTCATATAATTGTGGGCATGATATAATGCAAAGTTTCTACAAATTACCAATGACCCAAATCTGATGTGCTCTGCGACTGTAGGTTTCCAATCCTCAAAGTCCACATTAGTTATATTGTGTCATCTTCCCGCAGAAATCGAGGAGATGGAAAAGTAAGCGCGAGGGATTGGACTCTGGCAATCGACCAATCAAGGCTGCCGGGAAAGTTATCATCCAGGACATTGCATGTCTTCTCCCTGTTCACAAGTCGTTGGGAGAACTATACATGTAAGTTGAAAATGTCAAGTATGCTATGCTTATCACTTGGTCAAGATTATCGAAGTTTTGTTTTGTTCTTTAAGTAGTAGCACTCTCTCTTCACAAGTTTTAAGAGACTAGTATATTAGTTTTCTATTGCTGCATAACACATTAGTGCAAAGTCAGCAGCTTAAAGCAACATGCATGCATTATCTCACAAGTTCCCTAGGTCAGGGTCTGGGCCTGGCTTAGCTGGTTCTTTGTTCAGGCCTCACCAGGTGGAAATTGTGGAGTTGGCCAAGTGGTGGTCTTATCCATGCTTTTTCCAAGCTCTTTCAGGTTGTTAGCAGAATTCCATTTCTCACAGCCATAGAACTTGGTGAATTTTATCTGCATAGAGACCAGCAGGAGTATCTCACTGAGGTTTCACCTCCTTTCTAAGGTCTCATCTGATTAGCTCAGCCCACCCAGGACAATTTCCCTTTCCACAGATTGAAAGTTAGCTGGTTTATAAACCTAATCATGGGAGTGATACTCTATTAATAT